TGGGAGGACCCTGATCTATGGGGGAGGAGGACCCTGATCTATGGGGGAGGAGGACCCTGATCTATGGGGGGGGGGCCCTGATCCTTGGGGGTTCTTTAATCCTTGGGGGCGGGTGTCCCGCACGGAGCCCCCCATCAACCCCATCTCCTCCATAGGTGCTGAGCCGAGAGGGCCCCCCCCCCCACCGCCCCTCCCCTTTGGATGGGTCCTGGGGGGCACTGAATACCCCACACCCCCCCCCCCCCCCCGTTGCCACAGAAACCAAATATTTGGGGCCATCGCGGTCGCGTTGCTCCGGTTACAGCCAAAACTTCCCAAAACAGCGCAAAACGGCCCAAAACGGCGGCCCGTTTTGGTAATCCCCGGTGACGTCACCCCCGGGACCCCCTGACGTCACAGACACACACACCCCCCCCCCCTTTTGGCCACACCCCGTTCCCTTGCCCCCGACCCCGCCCCGGCGGACACCGCCCGGAGAGACCCGAACCCGTCCGGAAGGACCCGAACCGGGGGGCCCGAACCCCCCCGAAGGGACCCGAACTCATCCGGAGGGACCCGAATCCGCCTGAAGGGACCCGAACCGGAGTGACCCGAACACATCCGAAAGGACCCGAACCGGGGGAGGATCCGAACCCGTCCGGAAGGACCCGAACCGGGGGGGGGCGGTACCCGAACCCGTCCGGAAGGACCCGAACAGGAGGGACCCGAACCGGGGGGCCCGAACCCGCCCGGAGGGACCCGAACTCCGAAGGGACCCGAAAATGTCTGGAAGGACCCGAACCCATCCGGAGGGACCCGAACTCATCCGGAGGGACCCGAACTCATCCGGAGAGACCCGAATCCGCCTGAAGGGACCCGAACCGGAGTGACCCGAACACGTCCGAAAGGACCCGAACCTGGGGGGGGGATCCGAACCCGTCCGGAAGGACCCGAACCGGGGGGATCCGAACCCGCCCGGAGGGACCCGAAAGTGTCCGGAGGGACCCGAAAGCGTCCGCAGGGACCCGAACTCCGAAGGGACCCGATCCCGCCCGAAGTGACCCGAGCTCGGGGAGACGCGAACCCTTCCGGAAAGACCCGAACTCTCTCGGTGAGCGCTGGGACCGACCCAGGGTCCCTTTTAGGATGGGATGGGACTGGGGGGGAAGGGGCTGATTTTGGGGTGCCCCCCCATCCCCCAGGATGCAGCCAGCGCCCGCGTGGGGGCGGAGTGACCCCCGCCCTTCCCCCCATCCGGGATGGATAGGAAGGAGATTCTCCGGGGCCTTATGTGGGCACAGCCCTGAGGCTTTCCCACCACATTGACCCCCCTCCATCACCTCATTGCCCCCCCTCCACCACCTCATTGCCCCCAATCCCCCCCCATGGCCCCCCATTACCCCCAAAGGCCCCCAATCCCTGCTCCACAGCCCCCCAATTTCCCCCCATTATCACCACACAGCCCCCCCTAGGCCTCCCAATACCCCCCCAGCCACCATATAGACCCCAATTGCTCCCATTACCCCCAACCCCCCACGCTCACCCCCATTATCCCCCAACCCCCACTCCATAGACCTACAATTTCCCCCCTCAGACCTTTAATACCCCCCGATAACCTCATGGCCCCCTACAGACCTCCCATACTCCCCCATAGACACCCCCATAGCCTGCCCACAGCCCCCCATAGTCACCATAGCCCCCCCATAGCCCCCTATAGACCCCCCAAGCCCCCCTATACTCCACCATAGACCCCCCATAGCCCCCTATACGCTGCCATAGACCCCCTATAGCCCCCCCGGCCCCCTATAGCTCCCTATAGAGCCCCTATACACCCCCATAGCACCCCTATATCCCCCTACAGACCCCCCATAGCCCCCTCATACCCCCTATAGCCCCCTATCCCCCTCCATAGCCCCCTATAGATGCCCCATAGACCCCCTATTGCTCCCCATAGACACCCATAGCCCCCTATCCCCCTCCATAGCCCCCTATAGATGCCCCATAGTCCCCTATACTCCCACACAGACCCCCTATAGCTCCCCATAGCCCCCTATACCCCCCATAAACCCCCTATATCCCCCCATAGCCCCCCATAGCTCCCTATATCCCCCATAGCCCCCTATAGCTACCCAGAGACCCCTATCCCCCCCATAGCCCCCTATATTCCCCCCTATCCCCCCCATCCCCCTATATTCCCCCCATCCCCCCCCAGACCCCCTATATCCCCCCATAGCCCCCTCTATTCCCCCCTATCCCCCCTATATTCCCGCTATCCCCTCATCCCCCTATATTCCCCCCTATCCCCTCCCATAGCCCCCTATGTTCCCCCCATCCCCCCCATATTCCCCCTATCCCCCCCATCCCCCTATATTCCTCCTATCCCCCCCCATAGCCCCCTATATTCCCCCCTATTGCCCCCTATATCCCCCCCATAGCCCCCTATATTCCCCCTATCCCCCCCATAGCCCCCTATATCCCCCCTATAGCCCCCTATATTCCCCCCAGGCCTTATTGGTTCTCTATGGGCCAGGATCTGAGCCTTTATGGGGGTGTCTATGGGGTGTTCATGGGGCAGGATCTGGGCCTTTATGGGGGTGTCTATGGGGCAGGATCCGGCCCTTTTATAATGTGTCTACAGGGCAGGATCTGGCCTTCTATAGGGTGTCTATGGAGCAGAATCTGACCATTTAAGGGGGTGTCTATGAGGTGTCTATGGGGCAGGATTGAACCCATATGGGGTGTCTCTGGGGTGGGATCTGGCCCTTTATGGGGGTCTTTGGGTTGCCCGTGGGGCAGGATCTGGGGGTGTCTATGGGGCAGATGTGACTTTTTATGGGGGTCTTTGGGGGTTCTGTGGGGCAGGATCTGGCCCTTTATGGGGGTTCTGGAGTCTATGGGGTAAGACTGAATCCATATGGGGTGTCCATGGGGCAGGATCTGGTCCCAAAGGGGTGTCTTTGAGGTGTCTATGGGGCAGGATCCAGTGCCCTACAAGCATCACGGACCCTCGATGGGGCACAGTGAGCCCCAGTGGGGGGGGGGGGCTGAGATTAAAGGGACGTTTCCACTTCTTAAAGGAGCCGCTGCCTCTTTTTTTGGCGGGGGGGGGGTGTCACTGGGGGTGTCACTGGGCGGGACCTCTCCCATTGCAGGCCACGCCCCCTGCTCCCTATTGGCTGTTGGGAGGGGGAGGCCGACACGAATGTGTCCTGAGTCCCGGGGGGGGGGGGGGGGGGGGATGGGATGGGGGGGCGATGGGGGGAGGGGGCCCCACCCCCCGTGCCCCCATTTCTCCCAATCTGGGTCTGGGCCCCCCCGGGACCCGTCCCCGTTTCCCAGAAGCCTTTGGGGGGGTTGGAAGTGGGGGGGGGTTGGGCTCCTCCCTTGCACCCCCCCCGGACCCACAACTTGACCCCCCCCACCCCCACCCCATAGCGCCGCGGCACCTTTAAGACAAGCCCCGTCCCTCCTGCCAGGCCACGCCCCCTCCCGCCAAACCACGCCCCCAACAACCGCAGGGATGGGCGCGCCCCCCTTGGCCCCGCCCCCTCCGCAAGCCCCGCCCCTGCAGCCGCAGGGATCGGGCACCTCCCATTGGTCAATGGCCCCGCCCGGCCCCGCCCGTCGCGCAAACCACGCCCCCCACGCCCGCAGGGCTGGGGGTGCCCCTGAGGCCACGCCCTCTCCTCCGAAGCCACGCCCCCAACAGGCCACGCCCCCCCTGCCCGCGGTCCGGCTCCGCCGCTCGGTCCCTGGGTCCGCGCCCCCCCCGCACCGGCGGGTCCGTGCCTGGAGCTGCGCGACCGCGGGTCTGTGTGGGGCAGCCTATGGGGCGGGCTTTGGGTCTATGGGGCCATCTATGGGTCTATGGGGCCATCCATGGGGCTGTCTGTTGGCTTATGGGGACGTCTATGGGGCTGTCTATGGGGCTGTGCGTGGGGCTGTGGGGCCGTCTTCGCGGCTGTCTGTGGGTCCATCCGTGGGTGCATCCGTGGGTCTGTCCATGGGTCCGTGGGTGAGGGGTGGGTGGGCTCAGCCCTGGCTGGGGGTGGCAATGAGATCCCTCCTCCCCCAGTGGTGCCATGGGTCCATCCATGGTGTATGGGTCCATCAATGGGGCTGCGGGTCCATCAATGGGGCTGGGGGTCCACCAATGGGGCTCTAGGTGCATCAGTGGGGCTGGGGGTCCACCAATGGGGCTGTGGGTCCATCCGTGGGTCCGTGGGTCCATGCACGTGCCTGTGAGTCCCTCTGTGTGTGCACACGTGTGTCTGTGGGTCCATCCATGTGTCTGTGCATCCATCCCTGCATCCACGGCTCCATCCCCACATCCATGGGTCCCTCCCCACAGCTCCATCCCCATTGGTCCATTCCCATTGGTCCATCCCCACAGCTCCATCCCCACATCCATGCCTTCATCCCCATTAGTCCATCCCCACATCTCCATCCCCACATCTCCATCCCCACATCTCCATCCCACTCCACCTCAGCTCCATCTCCACAGCTCCATCCCCACATCTCCATCCCCACATCTCCATCCCCACAGCTCCATCTCCACATCTCCATCCCCATATCTCCATCCCTACGGCTCCATCCCCACATCTCCATCCCCACATCTCCCTCCCATCTCCATCTCCACATCTCCATCCCCACATCTCCATCCCCACATCTCCATCCCCACATCTCCGTCCCCACATCTCCATCCCATCTCCATCCCCACATCTCCATCCCCACATCTCCATCCCATCTCCATCCCCACGGCTCCATCCCCACATCTCCATCCCCACATCTCCATCCCCACATCTCCATCCCCACATCTCCATCCCCACATCTCCATCCCCACATCTCCATCCCATCTCCATCCCCACATCTCCATCCCCACATCTCCATCCCATCTCCATCCCCACATCTCCATCTCCACATCTCCATCCCCACATCTCCATCCCCACATCTCCATCCCCACATCTCCATCCCCACATCTCCCTCCCCACGGCTCCATCCCCCCCTTTTGCCCCCCCACAGCCCCCCCGTGGCCGATGGCGCTGGCGGGGCCGGAGGGGGAGCGCTCGGCGCGGCCGCTGTTCTGCCGCCGGGGGGCGCTGCGGCACAAGGTGGTTCACGAGGTCAAGAGCCACCGCTTCACCGCGAGGTTCTTCAAGCAGCCCACGTTCTGCAGCCACTGCACCGACTTCATCTGGTGAGGCCCATGGGGACCCATAGACACCCATAGACACCCATAGAGACCATAGGGACCCATAGACACCCATAGACACCCACATAGACCATAGGGACCCATAGACACCCATATAGACCATAGGGACCCATAGAGCCCACGTTCTGCAGCCACTGCACCGACTTCATCTGGTGAGGCCCATAGGGACCCATAGACACCCATAGACACCCATATAGACCATAGGGACCCATAGACACCCATAGACACCCACATAGACCATAGGGACCCATAGAGCCCACGTTCTGCAGCCACTGCACCGACTTCATCTGGTGAGGCCCATGGGGACCCATAGACACCCATAGACACCCATATAGACCATAGGGACCCATAGACACCCATATAGACCATAGGGACCCATAGAGCCCACGTTCTGCAGCCACTGCACCGACTTCATCTGGTGAGGCCCATAGGGACCCATAGACACCCATAGACACCCATATAGACCATAGGGACCCATAGACACCCATAGACACCCACATAGACCATAGGGACCCATAGAGCCCATGTTCTGCAGCCACTGCACCGACTTCATCTGGTGAGGCCCATAGGGACCCATAGACACCCATAGAGACCATAGGGACCCATAGACACCCATAGAGACCATAGGGACCCATAGACACCCATATAGACCATAGGGACCCATAGACACCCATAGACACCCATATAGACCATAGGGACCCATAGAGCCCATGTTCTGCAGCCACTGCACCAACTTCATCTGGTGAGGCCCATAGGGACCCATAGAGACCATAGAGACCCATAGACATCCATATAGACCATAGGGAGTCATAGAGACCCATAAGGACCCACAGTGCTCCATAGATATCTACAGCGCCCCACAGAGACACACATCAACCCATGGGACCCATAGAGACCCATAGACACCATAGAGACCCATAAAGACCCATAGGAACCCCTAGGGCCAGGACCCCATGGACCCCAATGGTAGGGTCTTAGGGACCCACAGAGCCCAGCACCAGGGGCAAGGGGACCCCATAGACCCCAATGTGGGGGTCATGGGGACCCCATCGCCCCACATGGGTGACCCCCGGGGGTGACGGCACCTTCTCCTCCCCAGGGGCATCGGGAAGCAGGGCCTGCAGTGCATGGGTGAGCCGCCCTATGGGACCCCCCTATGGGACCCCCCTATGGGACCCCCCCATGGGACTCCCCTTATGGCCCCCATAGGACCCCAATGGGACCCCCCTCTTACCCCCCCCCCCCCCCCCAGGGTCCCCAGAGCACGCTGGGGGGGGGTCCGGGGGGGGGGGGGGAGTGGGCGTGGCCTGGGCGCTGATTGGCTGGAGGGGAGCAGCGGTTGCCATGGAGCATTGCCGGGCAGCTGGGGCCGTTGCTAAGCAACAGGTGGGGGGTGATGGGGCTCTTATAGGGTGTATGGGGAGCATTTAGGGGGGCCCTGGGGTTATTATGGGGTGTATGGGGGGTATTTAGGGGGTTCTGGGGTTATTATAGGGTGTATGGGGAGCATTTAGGGGGTCCTGGGGTTATTATGGGGTGTATGGGGGGTATTTAGGGGGCCCTGGGGTTATTATGGGGTGTATGGGGGGTATTTAGGGGGTCCTGGGGTTATTATGGGGTGTATGGGGGGTATTTAGGGGGTCCTGGGGTTATTATGGGGTGTATGGGGATCATTTAGGGGGGTCCTGGTGTTATTATGGGGTGTATTTAGGGGGTCTTGGGCTTATTATAGAGTGTATGGGAGGTACTTAGGGGGGTCCAGGGTTTATTATGGGATGTATGGGAGGTAGTTAGGGGGGTTCTGGTGTTATTATGGGGTGTATGGGGGGTATTTAGGGGGTCTTGGGGTTATTATAGGGTATATGGGAGGTACTTAGGGGGGTCCAGGGTTTATTATGGGATGTATGGGAGGTAGTTAGGGGGGTTCTGGTGTTATTATGGGGTGTATGGGGAGTATTTAGGGGGGTCCTGGGGTTATTATGGGATGGATGTGGGGTACTTAGGGCCCCCCTCTGCACCCCCCATAGTGTGCAGCTTCGTGGTGCACAAGCGCTGCCATGAGTTCGTCACCTTCGAGTGCCCCGGGGCCGGGAAGGGGCCACAGACGGACGTGAGTCCATGGGGGGGGCCATGGCGGGTCCCTATAGGGGGGATATGGGGTCCTATGGGGGGTATTTTCGGTCGGGTGGGGCAATTGGTGTCTATGGGGGCTAATTGGGGTCCTATGGGGGGGCAATTGGTGTCTATGGTGGTAATTGTGTTTCTATGGGGGTAATTGGTGTCTATGATGTGTGTTAATTGTGTTCCTATGGGTTCTAATTGGGCTCCTGTGGGTGGTAATTGTGTTCCTATGGGGGGTAATTGGGTTCCTGTGGGTGGTAATTGTGTTCCTATGGGGGGTAATCGGTGTCTGTTGGGGGGGTAATTGTGTTCCTATGGGGGGTAATTGGTGTCTGGGGGGGGTAATTGTGTTCCTATGGGGGGTAGTCGGTGTCTGGGGGGGGTAATTGTGTTCCTATGGGGGGTAATTGGTGTCTGGGGGGGGTAATTGTGTTCCTATGGGGGTAATTGGTGTCTATGGGGGTAATTGGGTTCCTGTGGGTAGTCATTGTGTTCCTATGGGGGGTAATCGGTGTCTGTTGGGGGGGTAATTGTGTTCCTATGGGGGGTAATTGGTGTCTGGGGGGGGGTAATTGTGTTCCTATGGGGGGTAATCGGTGTCTGGGGGGGGTAATTGTGTTCCTATGGGGGGTAATCGGTGCCTGTTGGGGGGGTAATTGTGTTCCTATGGGGGGTAATTGGTGTCTGGGGGGGGTAATTGTGTTCCTATGGGGGGTAATTGGTGTCTGGGGGGGTAATTGTGTTCCTATGGGGGGTAATTGGTGTCTGGGGGGGGGTAATTGTGTTCCTATGGGGGGTAATTGGTGTCTGGGGAGGGTAATTGTGTTCCTATGGGGGGTAATTGGTGTCTGTTGGGGGGTAATTGTGTTCCTATGGGGGGTAATTGGTGTCTGTTGGGGGGGTAATTGTGTTCCTATGGGGGGTAATTGGTGTCTGTTGGGGGGGTAATTGTGTTCCTATGGGGGGTAATTGGTGTCTGGGGGGGTAATTGTGTTCCTATGGGGGGTAATTGGTGTCTGGGGAGGGTAATTGTGTTCCTATGGGGGGTAATTGGTGTCTGGGGGGGTAATTGTGTTCCTATGGGGGGTAATCGGTGCCTGTTGGGGGGTGTGCATATGGACCACCATGTGCATCCCCCAGGACCCCCGGAACAAGCACCGCTTCCGGCTGCACAGCTACAGCAGCCCCACCTTCTGCGACCACTGCGGCTCCCTGCTCTATGGGCTGGTGCACCAGGGCATGAAGTGCTCCTGTGAGCCATGGATGCGCTATGGGGGGCAATGGGGGTAATGGGGTAATGGGTGCTCAATGGGGTTCAATGGGTGCACAATGCGGTTCAGTGGGTGCTCAATGGGGTTCAAGGGGTTCACTGGGGTTCAATGGGCTCTCAATGGGTGCTCAATGGGGTTCAATGAGGTTCAATGGGTGCTCAATGGGGTTCAATGGGTGCTCAATAGGGTTCATTGGGGTTCACTGGGTGCTCAATGGGGTTCAATGGGTGCTCAATGGGCTCTCAATGGGTGCTCAATGGGGTTCAATGGGGTTCAGTGGGTGCTCAATAGGGTTCAATGGGTGCTCAATGGGCTCTCAATGGGTGCTCAATGGGTGCTAAATGGGGTTCAATGGGGTTCAATGGGTGCTCAATGGGCTCTCAATGGGTGCTCAATGGGGTTCAGTGGGGTTCAATGGGTGCTCAATGGGGTTCAATGGGGTTCAGTGGGGTTCAATGGGTGCTCAATGGGGTTCAATGGGGTTCAGTGGGGTTCAATGGGTGCTCAATGGGGTTCAGTGGGGTTCAGTGGTTGCTCAATGGGGTTCAATGGGTGCTCAGTGGGCTCTCAATGGGTGCTCAATGGGGTTCAGTGGGGTTCAGTGGGGTTCAATGGGTGCTCAATGGGGTTCAATGGGGTTCAGTGGGGTTCAATGGGTGCTCAATGGGGTTCAATGGGGTTCAGTGGGGTTCAATGGGTGCTCAATGGGGTTCAATGGGGTTCAGTGGGGTTCAATGGGTGCTCAATGGGGTTCAATGGGGTTCAGTGGGGTTCAATGGGTGCTCAATGGGGTTCAATGGGTGCCGGGCGCTGGTGCCCCCTGCAGGCTGCGAGATGAACGTGCACAAGCGCTGCGTGCAGAGCGTGCCCAGCCTCTGCGGCGTCGACCACACCGAGCGCCGCGGCCGCCTGCAGCTCCGCATCCAGGCGCTGCCGGGGGAGCAGCTGCACGTCACCGGTAACGGAGCAGGGGGCCCGGAAACACCCAAAACCGCCCCGGAAACACCCCAAAACGCCCAGGAAACACCCAAAAACGCTCCAGAAACGCCCAAAAATGCCCCGGAAACATCCCAAAACGCCTCAAAACGCCTCTGAAACACCCAAAACGCCCCTGAAACGCCCAGAAACGCCTCTGAAACACTCAGAAACACCTCTGAAACATGCAAAATCGCATCTGAAATACCCTACAAACCCCCAAAAAGCAACTGAAACACGCAAAACCGGCACTGAAACACCCAAAACTGTCCCAAAACACCCCTGGAACACCCAGAAATGCCTCTGAAACACACCAAAATGGTCCAAACCGCCCTGAAACACCCCAAAACGTACCTGAAACACCAAAAAATGCTTCCAAAACACCTAAACCTGCCCCTGAAACACCCAAAATCTCCCCAAAACACCCCTGAAGCCCCCCAAACAAATATGAAATACCCCAAACCACCCCTGAAACACCCAAAAAAAACCAGAACACCCCTGAAACGCCCCCCAACCCCCCCCGGACCCCCAGACCTACTCCTGGTTCCTGCCCGCAGTGGGGGAGGCGCGGAACCTGATCCCGATGGATCCCAACGGGCTCTCGGATCCCTACGTGAAGCTGAAGCTGATCCCGGACCCCAAGAACCTCTCCAAGCAGAAGACGCGGACGGTGAAGGCCACGCTCAACCCCGTGTGGAACGAGGCCTTCCTCTTGTGAGCGGGGCAACATACGTGTGTCATGTGTGTGTCATGCGTGTATCGTATGTGTCCTGTGTCGTGTGGGTCACGTGTGTAATGCGTGTGTCATGTGTCATATGAATGTGTCATACGTGTGTCATATGAATGTGTCATACATGTGTCATAAGTGTGTCGTATGTGTGTTGTGTGTCATATGTATGGGTCATACATGTGTCATGTGTGTCTTATGTGTGTCAGGTGTGTGTCATATGTGTCATACATGTGTCGTATGTGTATGTCATAAGTGTATCGTACATGTTTTGCGTGTGTCGTGTGTGTGTCATGTGTGTCTTGTGTGCCATATGAGTGACATACGTGTGTCATGAGTGTCATACGTGTGTCATATGAGTGTCATACGTGTCCCACCCATGACCCACCCATGACCCACCCATGTCCCACCCATGTCCCATCCATGTCCCATCCATGTCCCACCCATGACCCACCCATGCCCACCCATGCCCCACCCATGCCCCACCCATTTCCCACCCATGACCCACCCATGCCCACCCATGACCCACCCATGACCCACCCATGACCCACCCATGTCCCACCCATGACCCACCCATGTCCCACCCATGTCCCACCCATGTCCCACCCATGACCCACCCATGCCCCACCCATTTCCCACCCATGACCCACCCATGCCCACCCATGCCCCACCCATGCCCCACCCATTTCCCACCCATGACCCACCCATGCCCACCCATGCCCCACCCATGACCCACGCATGACCCACCCATGCCCCACCCATGCCCACCCATGCCCCACCCATGACCCACCCATGTCCCACCCATGACCCACCCATGACCCACCCACGTCCCACCCATGACCCACCCATGTCCCACCCATGACCCACCCATGTCCCACCCATGACCCACCCATGACCCACCCATGTCCCACCCATGCCCCACCCATGCCCCACCCATGCCCCACCCATGTCCCACCCATGCCCCACCCATGCCCCACCCATGACCCACCCATGTCCCACCCATGCCCCACCCATGCCCCACCCATGTCCCACCCATGTCCCACCCATGTCCCACCCATGACCCACCCATGACCCACCCATGCCCCACCCATGACCCACCCATGTCCCACCCATGACCCACCCATGACCCACCCATGACCCACCCATGCCCCACCCATGACCCACCCATGACCCCCCTGCCCCCAGCACGCTGCGCCCCGGGGACTCCGAGCGCCGCCTCTCGGTGGAGGTGTGGGACTGGGACCGCACCTCCCGCAACGACTTCATGGGCGCCATGAGCTTTGGGGTGGCTGAGCTGCTCAAGGGCCACGTGGACGGGTGGTGAGCACGGGGGGACCCCATGGAGCCCCACTGACACCATTGAGCCCCTTGACCCCCATTGAGCCCCATTGACCCCCATTGAGCCCTATTGACACCCACTGACCCCCATTGAGCCCTATTGACACCCATTGACCCCCATTGAGCCCTATTTACACCCACTGAGCCCCACTGACCCCCATTGATCCCCACTGACCCCCACTGACACCCATTGAGCCCCATTGACCCCCATTGAGCCCCATTGAGCCCTATTGACACCCATTGATACCCGTTGGTCCCCATTGACAGCCATTGACCCCACTGAGCCCCATTGCCCCCCATTGACCCCCATTGAGCCCCATTGAGCCTGTTGAGCCCCACTGAACCCCATTAGTACCCATTGACCCCCATGGAGCCCCATTGAGCCCACTGACCCCTACTAAGCCCCATTGACCCCTATTGAGCCCATTGATCCCCATTGATCCGCATTACCCCATTGCTCCCATTGCCCCCATTGCCCCATTGCCAGGTTCAAGCTGCTGAACCAGGAGGAGGGCGAATACTACAACGTCCCCGTGGCCGACACCGACGACTGTGGCCTCCGGCCCAAGTTCGAGGTGATGACCCACCCCTTGAGCCCCCTTGAGCCCCCTTGAGCCCCCTTGAGGCCTATGGACCCCATTGAGCCCCACTGACACCCCCCCCTGCCCCATCTCTTCCAGGCTTGTAACTACCCATTGGAGCTCTACGAGGTAATGGTAACCCCTGGTTACCTTTGACCCCTCGGTAACCCCTCATCCGTGACCCCATGCTGACCCCGTGCCCCCCCGCTGACCCCGCAGAAAGTGCGCAGGGGGCCGGGCCCTTCTCCGGCGCCGTCGCCCTCCCCCAGCCCCACAGATCCCAAACGTGGCTTCTTCAGCTCCGGGCGCTCCCGGCTCGGGGACTTCACCTTCCTGATGGTGCTGGGCAAGGGCAGCTTCGGCAAGGTGGGACCTGAAAACGGGCAAAAGGACCCCCAAAACGGGCTTGGGGACCCCGAAAACGGGCAAAGGGACCTGAAAACGGGCAAAAGGACCCCAAAAATGGGCTTGGGGACCCCGAAAACGGGCAAAGGGACCTGAAAACGGGCAAAAGGACCCCAAAAATGGGCTTGGGGACCCTGAAAACGGGCAAAGGGACCTGAAAACGGGCAAAAGGACCCCAAAAACGGGCAAAGGGACCCCGAAAACGGGCAAAGGGACCTGAAAATGGGCAAACGGACCCCCAAAACGGGCAAAGGGACCCCCAAAACGGGCTTGGGGACCCCGAAAACGGGCTTGGGGACCCCGAAAATGGGCACGGGGAACACAAAACCCCCCAAAAGAACCCCAGAAACGGGCTGGGGGACCCCGAAAACGGTTGCGGGGAGCACGAAAACGCCCAAAAACGGGCGTGGGGAGCCCGAACCGGTCACGAACCCCCCCGAGACGGGCGCGAGGAACGCAGAAACGGGCACGGGGAGCACAGAAACGCCCCAAACGACCCCGGCGATGGCTGCGGGGGGCGCGAAAAGGCCGCAAAACGGGCGCGGGGAGGCTGAAAACGGGCGCGGGGAGGCTGAAAACGGGCGCGGCGCGCGCAGGTGATGCTGGCCGAGCGGCGCGGCACGGCCGAGCTCTTCGCCATCAAGATCCTCAAGAAGGACGTGGTGGTCCAGGACGACGACGCCGCCTGCACCATGGTGGAGCGGCGCGTGCTGGCCCTGGGGCCCCGGCCCCACTTCCTGACCCACCTGCACTCCACCTTCCAGACCGCGGTGAGGGGAATGCGGCACCATGGGGCTATGGGGGGTGATGGGGGGTAATGGGGGCCTATGGGGGTATTGTGGCTATGGGGCACTATGGGGGTGTATGGGGGTATTGTGACTATGGGGCACTATGGGGCTATGGGGGGTGATGGGGGGTAATGGGGGCCTATGGGGGCGTATGGGGGCTCTGGGGCACTATGGGGGCGTACGGGGGTATTGTGGCTATGGGGCACTATGGGGCTATGGGGGGTGATGGGGGGTAATGGGGGCCTATGGGGGTATTGGGGCTCTGGGGCACTATGGGGGCGTATGGGGGTATTGTGGCTATGGGGCACTATGGGGGCGTATGGGGGTATTGGGGCTATGGGGCACTATGGGGGCGTATGGGAGTATTGGGGCTATGGGGCACTATGGGGGGTATGAAGGGTAATGGGGACATAGGGGGTAATGGGTCATGATGGGGGGCTATGAGGCTGTGGGGGATAGGGGACTATGGGGGGCAATGGGGGGTAATGGGGGCTGTGGGGCTATGGGGGGGCATAGGGGGTGATGGGGGTTAACGGGGGGTAGTGGGGGTATGGGGGGTGATGGGGGTATGGGGGCTGGGGGGGCTAATGGGGCGCTATGGGGGTCTCTGGGGGTTGATGGGGGGCTATGGGGGGTAATGGGGCTTTATGGGGCACTATGGGGGGTATGGGGGCTAATGGGGGTGATGGTGGGTAATGGGACTCTATGGGGGGTACAGGGGTGTAATGGGGGCTATGGAGGGTAGGGGGCTATGGAGGCTATGGGGCTATGGAGGTGTAATGGGGGTAATGGGGCTGTGGGGGTGTAATGCGAGCTGTGGGGCTGTAATGGGGGCTATGTGGCTATGGGGGGTATGGGGTTGTAATGGGGGGTTATGGGGCTATGGGGGGCTACGGGGCGATGGCGGCTGTGGGGCTATCGGGCTATGGGGGGCTATGGGGGCTATGGGGGGCTATGGGGCTAGGGTTCTATGGGCTCTGTGAGGGCTATGGGTTTATGGGGGCCTATGGTGGCTATGGGGTTATAGGTGGGTAATGGGGGGCTAATGGGAGAGCTATGGGTCACGTGTCCCCGCTGGCCACGCCCCCCAGGACCGCCTCTATTTCGTCATGGAATACGTCACCGGCGGGGACCTCATGTACCACATCCAGCAGGTCGGCAAGTTCAAAGAGCCGCACGCCACGTGAGTGCCCCCTAGCGACCCCTGCTGGTGACCCACAAGTGACCCCCAAATGCCCCCCCATTGGCCCCAAATACCCCTCAAAAACCCCCATTAACCCGTAAGTGCCCCCATTGACCCCCAAATGCCCCCATTGACCCCCAAATACCCCCCATTGGCCCCAAATACCCCTCAAATACCCCCATTAACCCGTAAGTGCCCCCATTGACCCCCAAATGCCCCCATTGACCCCCAAATACCCCCCATTGGCCCCAAATACCCCTCAAATACCCCCATTAACCCGTAAGTGCCCCCATTGACCCCCAAATACCCCCCATTAGCCCCAAATACCCCTCAAATACCCCCATTAACCCGCAAGTGCCCCCATTGACCCCCAAATACCCCCCATTAGCCCCAAATACCCCTCAAATACCCCCATTAACCCGCAAGTGCCCCCATTGACCCCCAAATACCCCCCATTAGCCCCAAATACCCCTCAAATACCCCCATTAACCCGTAAGTGCCCCCATTGACCCCCAAATACCCCCCATTGGCCACAAATACCCCTCAAATACCCCCATTAACCCGCAAGTGCCCCCATTGACCCCCAAATGCCCCACATTGACCCCGATACCCCCGTTGACCCCTGAATACTCCCCATTGACCCCCAAGAGTCCTCCCATTGACCCCCAAGTGCCCCCCATTGACCCCCAAGTATCCCTCCTTTGACCCCTTAAGTGCCCCCCATTGACCCCAAATGCCCCCCCTTGACCCCCAAGTGTCCCCCCATTGACCCCAAATACCCCCCACGTGCCCTCCCCCCCCCATTGGGACTGCCAACCCCTCTTGCTCGCCCCCCAACCTCCCATTTCCCCCTCCCCATTCACCCCAATGCCCCCCATACAAATGCCTCCCCATACCAATGCCCCCCCATACCAACGCCCCCCATTCACCCCAATACCCCCCATTCACCCCAATGCCCCCCATTCACCCCAATACCCCCCATTCACCCCAGTGCCCCCCCATTCACCCCAATGCTCCCCCATACAAATGCCTCCCCCATACCAACGCCCCCCCATTCACCCCAATACCCCCCATTCACCCCAATGCCCCCCCATACCAAAGCCCCCCCATACCAACGCCCCCCATTCACCCCAATACCCCCCATTCACCCCAGTGCCCCCCCATTCACCCCAATGCCCCCCATTCACCCCACTGCCCCCCCTTGCCCCCCAGGTTCTACGCAGCCGAGATCGCCATCGGCCTCTTCTTCCTCCACAACCAAGGCATCATCTACAGGTGCCCCCCCCCCGAACCCCGCCTTTATGGGGGCCGCCCCCCAACCACCCCATGGGGCCGCCCCATTGCTCACACCCCCCCCCCCCCCAAGGGATCTGAAGCTGGATAACGTGATGCTGGACGCCCAGGGTCACGTGAAGATCACGGACTTCGGGATGTGCAAGGAGAACATGTTCCCGGGAGCCACCACCAGGACCTTCTGCGGCACCCCCGACTACATCGCCCCCGAGGTGCCGCTATGGGGAGCTGTGGGGGGCTATGGGGCGCTATGGGGCGCTGTGGGGCGCTGTGGGGGGCTATGGGGCACTATGGGGCGCTGTGGGGCGCTGTGGGGGGCTATGGGGGGCTATGGGGCGCTATGGGGCGCTGTGGGGGGCTATGGGGAGCTGTGGGGGGCTATGGGGCACTATGGGGGCTATGGGGTGCGATGGGGATTATGGGGCGCGATGGGGGATATGGGGCACTATGAGGCACGATGGGGCTATATGGGGGCTATTGGGCGCTATGGGGTGCGATGGGGGATAAGGGGGACATGGGGGCAATGGGGGCTATGGGGCTATGGGACACTGTGGGGGGTATGGGGGCAATGGGGGTTATGGGGGATATGGGGGCTATTGGGCCCATGGGGGCTATGGGGCGCTATGGGGGATATGGGGGTTATGGAGGCTATGGGGAGTATGGGGCTATGGGTGCTATGGGGCTATGGGGCACTACAGGGAGATGGGGGTGACCCAGCAATGGGGATCACCCAGAGCAATGGGGGGGACCCCACCATGGGGGGGGGGCGGGTTGGGGTCCCCGTGCCCCAGGACCCCCCTTTGCCTCCCCCCCAGATCATCGCCTACCAGCCCTATGGCAAGTCCGTGGACTGGTGGTCCTTCGGGGTGCTGCTCTACGAGATGCTGGCCGGGCAGGTGCGTTTGGGCTCAATTCCCCGGATTTTGGCTCATTTGGGGCTGACTTGGGGTGGTTTGGGCTGGTTTTGGGGGGCTGAGGGTTAGGGTCAGGGTTAGGGTCAGGGTTAGGGTCAGGGTCAGGGTTAGGGTCAGGGTTAGGGTCAGGGTTAGGGTTAGGGTCAGGGTTAGGGTCAGGGTTAGGGTTAGGGTCAGGGTTAGGGTCAGGGTTAGGGTCAGGGTTAGGGTCAGGGTTAGGGTTAGGTTTGGGGGTTTTGGTGGTGGCTTTGGGGGTGTTTGGGAGGTGTTTGGGGGTTTTGGTGGCAGCTTTGGGGGTGTTTGGGAGGTGTTTGGGGTTTTTGGGGTGGCTATGGGGGTGTTTGGGAGGTGTTTGGGGGTTTTGGTGGCAGCTTTGGGGGTGTTTGGGAGGTGTTTGGGGTTTTTGGGGTGGCTATGGGGGTGTTTGGGAGGTGTTTGGGGTTTTTGGTGTGGCTACGGGGGTGTTTGGGAGGTGTTTGGGGTTTTTTGGGTGGTTTCGGGGGTGTTTGGGAGGTGTTTGGGGTTTTGGTGGTGATTTTGGGGTGTTTGGGCGGTGTTTGGGGTTTTTGGGTGGTTTCGGGGTGCTGACCCCCTCCGCAGCCCCCCTTTGATGGGGAGGACGAGGACGAGCTCTTCCAGTCCATCATGGAGCAGACGGTGACGTACCCCAAGGCCCTGTCTCGCGAGGCCGTGGCCATCTGCAAGGGGGTGAGGGGCGCTATGGGGCGCTACCGGGCCCTGTGGGTCTCTATGGATCCCTATGGGTCTCTATGGTCTCTATGGGTCTCTATGGTCTCTATGGGTCTCTATGGGTGTCTATGGTCTCTATGGGTCTCTATGGTCTCTATGGTCTCTATGGGTCTCTATGGTCTCTATGGGTCTCTATGGGTCTCTATGGGTCTCTATGGGTCTCTATGGTCTCTATGGGTCTCTATGGGTCTCTATGGTCTCTATGGGTCTCTATGGTCTCTATGGTCTCTATGGGTCTCTATAGGTCTCTATGGGTCTCTATGGTCTCTATGGGCCCCTATGGGTCTCTATGGGTCTCTATGGTCTCTATGGGTCTCTATGGGTCTCTATGGGTCTCTGTGGGTCTCTATGGTCTCTATGGTCTCTATGGGTCTCTATGGGTCTCTATGGGTCTCTGTGGGTCTCTATGGGTCTCTATGGGTCTCTGTGGGTCTCTATGGGTCTCTATGGGTCTGTGACCGCCGCTGCCCCCCAGTTCCTGACCAAGCACCCTGGGAAGCGTCTGGGAGCGGGGCCGGGGGGGGAGCAGGACGTCCGCTCCCACCCCTTCTTCCGGCGCACGGACTGGGAGCGCCTCGAGCGGCTGGAGCTGCCCCCCCCCTTCACCCCACAGCCGGTGAGTGCCCCACAGCGCCCCATAGGGACCCCATAGCGCCCCATAGACACCCCCATAGTGCCCCAAAATTCCCTCATAGCGCCCCACAGCGCCCCCTAGATACCCCATGGTGCCCCATAGCACCCCCTAGATACCCCATAGTGCCCCATAGTGCCCCCTAGATGCCCCATAGTGCCCCATAGTGCCCCCTAGATACCTCATAGTGCCCCATAGTGCCCCCTAGATACCTCATAGTGCCCCATAGTGCCCCCTAGATACCTCATAGTGCCCCATAGTGCCCCCTAGATACCCCATAGTGCCCCATAGTGCCCCCTAGATGCCCCATAGTGCCCCATAGCACCCCTAACACCATTATAAACCGCCCCATAGCACCTCCATAGTGCCCCACAGAGCCCCATAACACCCCATAACAGTTCATAGACACCCCCATATCTCCCCACAGCACCCCCATAGCGCTCCTTAGATACACCCATAGCACTCCCATATCACCCTATAGCACCCCTATAGCGCCCCATAGAACCCCCTTATCACCCCCATAGCACCCCATAGCTCCCCATAGTGCCCCCGTTGCCCTGGGGCTCAGCACTAAACCCGGCTCTTCTCTCTCTGTGTCTGTCCGTGTGCCCCCCCCCGGGCTCCTTTGTCTGTCCCTGTCTGCCCCCCCCCCTCCGAAATGGGGGGACCCCCCCGGGTGTGCCTGGATGGGGGGGGGCTGTGTCCATGTGGTTCAATGGGGGGCGGTTTGGGGGTCCCTGGTTGTGGGGGGGGGGTGGGTGTCCATTTTTGGGGTCCCTGTTTTGGGGTCCCCTCTTTGGATGGGTCCATTATTGGGATGGGTCCATTACTGGGGGGGGTGTCCATTATTGGGGTGGGTCCATTACTGGGGGGGGGTCCGTTATTGGGGGGGGTCCATCATGGGGGGGGGGTCATTAATGGGATGGGTCCATTGCTTTGATGGGTCCATTATTGGGGGGGGGGGGTTCATCACTGGGATGGGTCCATTGCTGGGGGGGTCCATTATTGGGTGGGTTCAATATTGGGATGGGTCCATTATTGGGGGGGTCCATTATTGGGATGGGTCCATTATTTGGGGGGTCCATTACTGGGGGTGTCCATCACTGGGATGGATCCATTATTGGGGGTGTCCATCACTGGGATGGATCCATTATTGGGGGTGTCCATCACTGGGATGGATCCATTATTGGGGGTGTCCATCACTGGGATGGATCCATTATTGGGGGTGTCCATCACTGGGATGGATCCATTATTGGGGGTGTCCATCACTGGGATGGATCCATTATTGGGGGTGTCCATCATTGGGATGGATCCATTATTGGGGGTGTCCATCACTGGGATGGATCCATTATTGGGGGTGTCCATCACTGGGATGGATCCATTACTGGGGGGGATCCACCACTGGGATGCGTCCATTACTGGGGGGGCTCCATCCCTGATGCCCCCTCTTCGGCTGCCTCCATTCGTGGGCTGTTTCGGGGGTCCCCTCTCCGGACGCTCCCATTCCGTTGTGGGGGGGGGGTTGGGTTCATTTTTGGGGTGCCCCCCCCCCAGTGTGGGCGCAATGGGGAGAACTTTGACAAGTTCTTCACGCGGGCCCCCCCCGCGCTCACCCCCCCGGACCAGCTGGTCCTGGCCGGGCTGGACCAAGGCGACTTCGCGGGGTTCACCTACACCAACCCCGACTTCGTGCACCCCGACCTGCGCCTCCCGGCCCCCCCCGGCTCCCTCGTCTGAGATCCGCACCCCCTCCCCCCCCCCGGACCCCTTTTGGGGGGGTCCCCCCTTTATTCCCAACCCCCCCTCATTCCCTATTAGAGCGCAGCACTGATTTGGGGGGCCCCTTATATGGGGGGACCCCTCCTTTATTCCCTGCCCCCCATTCCCCACTATAGGACATCAGTGATTTGGGGGGTGTCCCCTCTAGTTAGGACCTCCCCCCCCAATTTAGGTGGTCCCCCCCTTTATTCTCTCCCACCTCCACTATAGCACAGCAGTGATTTGGGGGGTCCCCCTTTATTCCCCCCGCCATCTCCACTATAGCACAGCAGTGATTTGGGGTCCCCCCCTTTATTCCCCCCTATTGCGCAGCACTGATTTGAGGGCTCCCCCCGTACTTAAGACCCCTCCCCCACGATTTGGGCCCCCCCCTTCATTTGGGGGTCCCCCCTTTAGTTGCCCCATATCTCTACTATAAGACAGCACTGATTTAGGGGGTCCCCCTTTTTTGGGGGTGTCCCTTTTTATTTCCCCCCCCATTTGCTACTATAGGATAGCACTGATTTGGGGGGGGCATTATTTGGGGGGTCCCCCCTTTAATTCCCCCATTCCTCCTATAGCGCAGCACTGATTTGAGGGGGTCCCCATCGTTTGGGGGCCCCCCCCTTTTAGCCCCCCCCCCAGCTGTGACCCCCCTCGGATGAGCTGGGGGGCGCTTTGCACACCACGGACCCCCCCAACCCCCCTCGAGACCCCCAATTTCGCCCCCCCCCCCCCCCCCAATGCCTTTAAGTATAAAAGCGAATGAGCCGGTGCCTGAGTCCGTTCGTCTCTGGGGGGGGGACGGAACACCCCAAAACCCTGCGTCCTTTTATGGGGGGGGCCCCCTACGTGCTGGGACCCCGGTTTGGGCGGGGGGTGGGGAGGGGTCCCCAATGTCCTGAGCCCCACTTTATGGGGGGGTCCCCATATTCCTCTGTCCTTGTTATAAGGCTTGGGGGGGGGTGTGTCCCTGTATTGGGGGGGTCCCCAGATTGGGGGGGGGTCATTGAGGGGGGTCCCTATGATGGGGGAGGGGCAGAGAAGGGGGGGAGGGGGGGGAAACGCGCTGTCCCTTTAAGCGCGGCCGCTCCGTGACATCACAGTGGCCACGGGGGGGGGGGAGGGGAAAGGGGGGGCCCATCCCCCCCCCCTTCCAACCCCCCCCCACCCCCCCCCCCCCGAGGCCGCCGCCGCCGCTGGCTGCGTCCTCGCGTCCGTCCCTCGGCTCCGTCCGCGGCCGCTTCGGCTCCGCTCGGCTCCTTCCGCCGGACCCTTCGGCTCCTCGGCCTCGGCCGCCGCATCCCGCCCGAGTCCGGTCCCTGCATCCCCCCCACCGCATCCCTTGTCCGGTCCCTGCATCCCCCCGGTGTCGGTCCCTGCATCCCCCCCATCGCATCCCTTGTCCATCCCTGCATCCCTCCCACTGCATCCCTCGTTGGTCCCTGCATCCCGTCCATCGCATCCCGTGTCCATCCCTGCATCCCCCCCGTGTCGGTCCCCGCATCCCTCCCATCGCATCCCTCGTTGGTCACCGCATCTCTCCCATCGCATCCCGTCCCTGTCCCTGCATCCCTCCCATCGCATCCCTCGTTGGTCCCCGCATCCCTCCCATCGCATCCCGTCCCTGTCCCTGCATCCCGTCCCCTGCATCCTCCAGCGCGTCCCGGTGTCTGGCTCTTGGTCCATCCCTGCATCCCTCCTTATCCTGTCCGCCTGTCCCTGCATCCCTCATCGCACCCCCCTATTGCATCCCATATCCATCCCCACATCCCATATCCATCCCCACATCCCGTATCCATCCCCCCCATCCCGTATCCATCCTCACATCCCCCTATTGCATCCCGTATCCATCCCTGCATCCCCCCATCCCGTATCCATCCCCCCCATCCCGTATCCATCCCCCCCTCTGTCCCACATCCCTGCATCCCTCTGCCCTTCATCCCTGCCTCCCTCCTCTCTCCATCCCGCATCCCCCATCGCGTCCTTCATCCCCCCCCCACCGTGTCCGTCTGTCCTTCCCCCCCCCCCCCCCCCATCCATCGATCCCCCCCCCCCCCCGTGTCCGTCCCCGCTGCCCTTCCCGCTCCCATGGCGCCCGGGGCCTCGGGGACACGGCAGCCGGCCACGGCGTGAAGCGGGTGAGGGCACGCGTGTGCGGGGTCACGTGTGTGCGGGGTCATGTGTGTGCGGGGTCACATGTGTGTGCGGGGTCATGTGTGTGCGGGGTCACATGTGTGTGCGGGGTCATGTGTGTGCGGGGTCATACATACATGGGGTCATACGTGTGCAGGGTCATACGTATATGGGGTCATATGTGTACGGGATCATACGTGAGTGGGGTCATGTGTGTGCAGGGTCATACGTGTGCATGGTCATGCATGTATGGGGTCATGTATGTGCGGGGTCACACGTGTGCAGGGTCACGCGTGTCCCACATGCGATGTCCCATGGGGGGTCGCTGCACATGCGTGTTCTTGGGGGGGTGCTCCCATAGGGACTCCTGTCCCCTTTTGCCCCCCTTGGCCCTCATAAGCCCCTTGACGCCCCATGGCCACCCCATTGCCCCCTCCCCCTCCCCCCCTGAATGCCCATGGACCCCGCTGACCCCCAACTCCTCCATGACCTCCCTTGACCCCCCTGACCCCTCCTGACCCCCATAGTCCCCATAGCCCCAATGATGCCCTCCACCCCCCATTCCCCCTATAGCCCCATATCCCCTATAGACCACATTGCCCCCTATAGCCTCTCTACCCCCTATAGCTTCTCTACCCCCTATAGCCCCTATACACCCTATAGCCTCTCTACCCCCTATACCCTCCATAGGGTCAGGATGAGCTCGTGCAGCAGCCTGGTGCTGATGCTCCTGAGCAGGGTGTTCGGGGCCTGTGGGCTGCTGCCCCCCGTATCCCCCTATACCCCTGTAACCCCTATAGCCCCTGGAGTCCCTATACCCCCTATAGCCCAAATACCTTGTATAGCCGCTAGAGCCCCTGAAGGCCCTATGCTCCCTATAGCCCCTATACCCTTCATACTCCATATACCCTCACCCCCCCATAACACCCTACACCCCGTATACTCCCTATAGCCACTGTACCTACGCCTTATAGCCCTTATAGCCCCCTATACCCCCCTAGCCCTTATAGCCTCTTTAACCACTATAGCCTCTATACTCCCTATAGCCCCTGTGTCTCCCATGACCCCCTCTACTCCTTATACCCCCTTCACCTCCTACAGCCCCTATACTCTCATAACCCTCTATAGCCCCTTTCCCCCACTATAACACCTATAGCTCCTGGAGCCCCTATAACCCCCTATAGGCCCTTATAGCCCATATACACCCCCATACCTCTATAACTCCTATACCCCCCCATGCCTCCTATACCCGCTATACCCCCTATACCTGCTATACCCCCTATACCCCATATACCTGCTATACCCCCTATCCCCGCTATACCCCATATACCTGCTATACCTCCTATATCCCCCATACCCCCTATACCCGCTATACCCCATATACCTGCTATACCTCCTATATCCCCCATACCCCCTATACCCGCTATACCCCATATACCTGCTATACCTCCTATATCCCCCATACCCCCTATACCCGCTATACCCCATATACCTGCTATACCCCCTATACCCCCCATACCCCTTATACCCCCACACCCCCTATACCCCCCACCCCCCCTATAGCCCCCATAGCCCTCGATCGCCCCCTAGGGCCAGGATGAGCTCGTGCAGCAGCCGGGCGCTGACGCTGCTGAGCAGCGTGTTCGGGGCCTGCGGGCTGCTGCTGGTGGGCATCGCGGTGAGCACCGACCATTGGCTCTACATGGAGGAGGGGGTGGTGCTGCCCCAGAACCAGAGCACCGAGGTGCGGATGGCGCTGCACGCGGGGCTCTGGAGGGTCTGCTTCTTCGCCGGTACGTGGGGGGCCACGGGGGGCAATGGGGGTCAATGGGGGAACGGGGGTGATGGGAGTCAATGGGGGAATGGGGGTGATGGGGTGATGGGGGTCAATGGGGGAATGGGGGTGATGGGAGTCAATGGGGGAATGGGGGTGATGAGAGTCAATGGGGGTCAATGGGGGAATGGGGGTGATGGGGGTCAATGGGGGAATGGGGGTGATGGGGGTCAATGGGGGAATGGGGGTGATGAGAGTCAATGGGGGTCAATGGGGGAATGGGGGTGATGGGAGTCAATGGGGGAATGGGGGTGATGGGGTGATGAGGTGATGGGGGTCAATGGGGGAATGGGGGTGATGGGAGTCAATGGGGGAATGGGGGTGATGGGGGTCAATGGGGGAATGGGGGTGATGAGAGTCAATGGGGGTCAATGGGGGAATGGGGGTGATGGGGGTCAATGGGGGAATGGGGGTGATGGGAGTCAATGGGGGAATGGAGGTGATGGGGGTCAATGGGAGCAATGGGGGTGATGGGGGTCAATGGGGGAATGGGGGTGATGGGAGTCAATGGGGGAATGGGGGTGATGGGGGAATGGGGGTGATGGGGTAGTGGGGGTGATGGAGGTCAATGGGAGCAGTGGGAGTGATGGGAACCATAGGGCTATGTGCACTCAATGGGATATGGGGCCCCCAGGGGCACCCTATGGGTACCGATGGGTACCTGAGGCGTGTCTGGGGGTACCCTATGGGGTGCTATGCGTGGGGTGCCCATGGGCGCTGTCTGCAGGGTGGGAGAAGGGGTGCTATGAGGGCACCCATGGGTGCTGGGGAAGCCTATGGGTGCTATGGGGCACTAAGGGGCACCCTATGGGAGCTACGGGTTCTATGGGATACTCTATGGGTGCTATGGATGCTAAGGGTGCTATGGGGGACCCTATGGGTGCTATGGGGAGCCCTATGGGTGCTATGGGGCACCCTATGGGCGCTATGGGTTCTATGGGATACTCTATGGGTGCTATGGATGCTATGAGTGCTATGGGGGGACCCTATGGGTGCTATGGGGAGCCCTATGGGTGCTACGGGGCACCCTATGGGCGCTATGGGATACTCTATGGGTGCTATGGATGCTATGGGTGCTCTGGGGGACCCTATGGGTGCTATGGGGCACCCACGGGCGCTGTCTGCAGGGTGGGAGAAGGGGTGCTATGGGGGCACCCATGGGTGCTGGGGAGCCCTATGGGCGCTATGGGTTCTCTGGGATACTCTATGGGTGCTATGGATGCTATGGGTGCTCTGGGGGACGCTATGGGTGCTATGGGGCACCCTATGGGCGCTATGGGTTCTATGGGATACTCTATAGGTGCTATGGATGCTATGAGTGCTATGGGGGACCCTATGGGTGCTATGGGGCACCCTATGGGCGTTATGGGTTCTATGGGATACTCTATGGGTGCTATGGATGCTATGGGTGCTCTGGGGGACGCTATGGGTGCTCTGGGCACCCACGGGCGCTGTCTGCAGGGCGGGAGAAGGGTCGCTGCGTCGCCTCCGAGTATTTCCTGGAGCCCGAAATCAACCTCGTGACGGAGAACACGGAAAACATCCTCAGTGCGTGCGGCCGCGGGGCTCTATCGGGGCCATGGGGGGCTATAGGGGCCATAGGGGGCTATAGGGGCCATGGGGGCTCTATAGGGGCCATGGGGGGCTATAGGGGCTCTATAGGGGCCATGGGGGGCTATAGGGGCCATGGGGGCTCTATAGGGGCCATGAGGGGCTATAGGGGCTCTATAGGGGCCATAGGGGGCTCTATAGGGGCCATAGGGGGCTATAGGGGCTCTATAGGGGCCACAGAGGCTATAGGGGCTCTATAGGGGCCATGGGGGCTCTAAAGGGGCCATAGGGGGCTCTGGGGGCTCTATAGGGGCCATAGGGGGCTCTAGGGGCTCTATAGGGGCCATAGGGGGCTCTAGGGCCTCTATAGGGGCCATAGGGGGCTATAGGGGCTCTACAGTGGTTTGTAAGGGGCTATAGTGGCTTTATATGGGGTCTATAGGGGCCGTAGTGGGCTATAGGGGGCTATAAGGACTCTATAGGGGCCTATAGGGGGTCTCTAGGGGGCCATAGAGGCTCTGTAGTGGGCCATAGGGGCTCTACAGGGGGCCATAGGGGGTCTATAGGGGCTATAGCGGCTCTATAGGGAGCTACTGGGGGCTATAGGGGCTCTATAGGGGCTCTACAGTGGGTTATAGGGAGTTCTGGAGGCTCTGTAATGGGCTATTGGGGGGTACAGGTGTCCTATGGGAGGCTATGGGGGACTACGGGGGCTCTGAGGGGTTCTGGGGGTCTATAGGGGGTCTATAGGGGCTCTGTGGGGGGCTATAGAAGTTCTAGAGGGCCCTCCAGGGGCTCTATCAGTGGCTATAGGGTGATGTAGGGCTCTATAGGGGTTCATGGGGGCCTCTAGCGGGCTCTGTAGTGCTCTCTAGGGGCTCTATGGGAGGGCCAATAGGTCTCTACATGGTTCTTTAGGGTCCCTATGGGGGCCTCTAGGGTGAATTTAGGGCTCTAGAGGGGCTCTATAGGGGTTCTAAAGGTGCTGTATAGGGTTCTATAGGGATCTATAGGGGTTCTAAAGGGGCTCTATAGAGTTCTATAGGGGCTCTATAGAGGGGTTTGGGGTGGCTATAGGGTTCCATATGGGTTCCATAGGGGCTGTATAGGGGCTCTATGGGGTTCCATAGGGTTCAATAGGGGTTCTTTAGGGACTCTATAGGGTTCCTTAGGGTTCTGTAGGGGCTCTATAGGGTTCTATAGAGGCTCTATAGGGGTTCTATATGGGATCTATGGGAGGTTCTATAGGGGCTCTGTAGGGTTCCATAGGGTTCTATAGGGGCTCTATAGGGGTTCTATATGGGATCTATGGGGGGTTCTATAGGGACTCTGTAGGGTTCCATAGGGTTCTCTAGGGCTCTATAGGGTTCCATAGGGGCTCTATAGGGTTCCATAGGGTTCCGTAGGGGCTCTGTAGGGTCCCATAGGGTTCTATAGGGGCTCCATAGGGTTCCACAGGGGCTCGATAGGGTTCCATAGGGTTCCATAGGGGCTCTATAGGGTTCCATAGGGTTCCGTAGGGGCTCTATAGGGTTCCATAGAGTTCCATAGGGGCTCGATAGGGTTCCGTAGGAGCTCTATGGGGTTCCATAGAGTTCCATAGGGGCTCGATAGGGTTCCATAGGGGCTCTATAGGCTTCCATAGGGTTCCGTAGGGGCTCTATAGGGTTCCATTGGGTTCTGTAGGGGCTCTATAGGGTTCCATTGGGTTCCGTAGGGGCTCTATAGGGTTCCATAGGGTTCCGTAGGGGCTCTATAGGGTTCCATTGGGTTCTGTAGGGGCTCTATAGGGTTCCATTGGGTTCCGTAGGGGCTCTATAGGCTTCCATAGGGTTCCGTAGGGGCTCTATAGGGTTCCATTGGGTTCTGTAGGGGCTCTATAGGGTTCCATAGGGTTCCGTAGGGGCTCTATAGGGCTCCGCAGTGCTCTGCGGGCTCGGTGGGGCAGCACCTCGCCTGCCCCCCCCAGAGACGGTGCGCTCGGCCACGCCGTTCCCCATGGTCAGCCTCTTCCTCGTCTTCACGGCCTTCGTCATCAGCAACGTGGGGCACATCCGGCCCCAGCGCACGCTGCTCGCCTTCGTCTCGGGCATCTTCTTCATCCTCTCGGGTGAGCGCCCCCCCGCGGGGCCCCATGGAACGGCCCGGACCCGACCCCCCCCCCAACAATGGAACAGCCCAGACCTGACCCCCCCGAGCATCCCCAATGGAACAGCCCAGACCTGACCCCCCCCTGAGCATCCCCAATGGAACAGCCCAGACCTGACCCCCCCTGAGCATCCCCAATGGAACAGCCCAGACCTGACCCCCCTGAGCATCCCCAATGGAACAGCCCAGACCTGACCCCCCCCTGAGCATCCCCAATGGAACAGCCCAGACCTGACCCCCCCGAGCATCCCCAATGGAACAGCCCAGACCTGACCCCCCCTGAGCATCCCCAATGGAACAGCCCAGACCTGACCTCCCCCCCCAACAATGGAAGAGCCCACCTCAGACCTGCCTCAAGCCCCCCATGCCTGCCCCACAACTACCCCCCACGTGCCCCATAAGTCCCCCATACCTGCCCCATGAGTCCCCCATAGACCCCATATCTACCCCATAAGTCCTCCATAGAGCTCATAACTGCCCTGTAAGTCCCCCATTGACCCTACACCTGCCCCATATGTCCCCTATAGACCCCATACCTGCTCCATAAGTACCCTATAGACCTCATACCCGCCCCATAGACCCCCATATCTGCCCCATAGACTCCATCCCTACCCTGTAAGTCCCCCATAGACCCCATCCCTGCCCCATAAGTCCCCCATAGACCCACATCTCTGCCCCACAGCAGCCCCCTGACCCCCCCCCCTCCGCCTCCCCAGGGCTGTCGCTGGTGGTGGGGCTCGTTCTCTACATCTCGAGCATCAACGACGAGGTCATGAACCGCCCCGGCGGCTCCGAGCTCTTCTTCCGGTACCGCTATGGCTGGTCCTTCGCCTTCGCCGCCTCCTCCTTCCTGCTCAAGGAGGTCAGTGCCCGCCGTCACGTGGCCATCACGTGGTCATCGCATGGCCAAAACGTGGTCATCACGTGGCCATCATGTGGTCATCGCGTGTCCATCATGTGGGCATTGCGTGTCCACCACGTGGTCATCGCGTGTCCATCACGTGGTCAGCATGTGTCCATCACGTGGTCATCACGTGGCCATCATGTGGTCATCGCGTGTCCATCATGTGGGCATCGCGTGTCCACCACGTGGTCATCGCGTGTCCATCACGTGGTCAGCATGTGTCCATCACGTGGTCATCGCATGGCCATCACGTGGGCATCGCATGGCCATCACGTGATCATCGCATGGCCATCACATGTCCATCATGTGGTCATCACGTGGGCATCGCATGTCCATCACGTGGTAATCTCATGGCCATCACGTGGGCATCGCGTGTCCATCACGTGGTCATCGCATGTCCATCACGTTGCCATCATGTGTCAATCGCACGTGCATCATGTGTCAGTCACATGGTCATCGCGTGTCACTTGCATGTCGGTCACACGGTCATCGGGTCTCAGTCACGTGGTCGTCACGCGTCAATCACGTGGTCATCACATGCCAGTCATGTGGTCATTGTGTGTCAGTCACATGGTCCTCACATGGGCATCACATGTCAGTCACATGGTCACCGCATGTCAATCACATCTCAGTTCACATTGTGAACATTGGTGCTGGGGTCCCGTCCTGCTCTCCCTGCAGGGTGCTGGGGTCATGTCCCTGTACCCCGTTCATGGTCCCATCCTGTACCCCATATTGAAGGTGCTGTACCCCATTCAGGGTGCTGGGGTCATGTCCCTGTACCCCATTCACGGTCCCATCCTGTACCCCCTATTGAAGGTCCTGTACCCCATTCAGGGTGCTGGGGTCATGTCCCTGTACCCCACTAATGGTGTTGTCCCCCTGTCCAGGGTGCGGGTGTGATGTCCCTGTACCCCATGTATTAACGATGCTGTACCCCATACACTAACGATGCTATGTACCGTTCCAGGGTGCGGGTGTGATGTCCCTGTACCCCATGTATTAACGATGCTGTACCCCATGTATTAACGATGCTGTACCCCATACACTAACTGTGCTGTATACCGTTCCAGGGTGCGGGTGTGATGTCCCTGTACCTCTTCACGAAGCGCTTCGCGGAGGAGGACCCGTTCCGCGCGCCGCCCGCGCTGCTCCGCCCGCGCCTGAGCGCATGCTCGGGGCTGTCGGGGCAGTTCCTGCAGCCGCGCGCCTGGCCCCGCCCCCGCAGCCCCTCCGAGGCCTCCTCCGACGTCTCCATCCGGATGACCCAGAGTTACCCCCCCGCCATCAAGTACCCGCCCCGGGCGCGGCTCAGCACCTCCCCCTGCTGAGCGCAGCGGGAACTGCAGGCACCGACGGGGGCAGCAACGGGGGAACAATGGGGGGGAACAACGGGGGGGAACAATGAGGGGGAACAATGAGGGGGAACAACGGGGGAACAACGGGGGAACAACGGGGGGGAACAATGAGGGGGAACAATGAGGGGGAACAACGGGGGAACAACGGGGGAACAATGAGGGGGAACAATGAGGGGGAACAATGAGGGGAAACAACGGGGGAACAACGGGGGAACAATGAGGGGGAACAACGGGGGAACAACGGGGGAACAACGGGGGAACAATGAGGGGGAACAACGGGGGAACAACGGGGGAACAATGAGGGGAAACAACGGGGGAACAATGAGGGGGAACAACGGGGGAACAATGAGGGGGAACAACGGGGGAACAACGGGGGAACAATGAGGGGGAACAACGGGGGAACAACGGGGGAACAACGGGGGAACAATGAGGGGGAACAATGAGGGGGAACAACGGGGGAACAATGAGGGGGAACAACGGGGGGGGAACAACGGGGGAACAATGAGGGGGAACAACGGGGGAACAATGAGGGGGAACAATGAGGGGAAACAACGGGGGAACAACGGGGGAACAACAGGGGAACAACGGGGGAACAACGGGGGAACAACGGGGGGAACAATGGGGGAACAACGGGGGAACAACGGGGGAACAACGGGGGGAACAACGGGGGAACAATGGGGTAACAACAATGGGGTAACAATGGGGTAACAACAATGGGGTAACAATGGGGCGTAACAACAGTGGGGTGATGACAAGGGTAAAAACAATGGGGTAACAACATTGGGATAACAATGGGGTAACAGCAATGGGATAGCGGTGGGGTAACAACGGTGGGGTAACAACAATGGGGTAACAACAATGGGATAGCGGTGGGGTAACAACGGTGGGGTAACAACAATAGGGTAACAACAGTGGGGTAATGGCAGGGGTAAAAACAATGGGGTAACAACATTGGGATAACAATGGGGTAACAACAATGGGATAGCGGTGGGGTAACAACAGTGGGGTAACAACAATGGGGTAACAGTGGGATAACAATGGGATAGCAGCAAGATAGCAATGGGATAGGGATAATGGGTTAGGGATAATGGGAATGATGGGGTAATGGGATAATGGGATACAGGAATAGGGATAATGGGATATGGGATGAAAATGATGGAATATAGGATATGGGGTGAATGGGATAGGGGAATAGGGGTAATGGGATAATGTGAAATGCGGTATAGGATATGGGATATGGGATAACGGGATGGTGGGACATGGGGTCAATGAGTCCAGGGGACGATGGGATATGGGGACAAGGGGGACATGGATGCTATGGGGATGGAGGCTGGGAGCAATGGGGTCAGGGGGGCAATGAAGCAATGGGGGGCAATGGGGGCAATGGCACAATGGGGCCATTGGTGATCAATGGGGGTCAATGGGGGCACCAACGGGGCCCATGTGGCACATGGGGCCACCGGCGGGCACCTTGTCCCGTCAACGCTGGCCAATGGCGGCTCTCTTGTGCGCCTGCCGCAGCCAATGAGGTGCAGCGCCCATCTTCTCCAGCCAATGAGGGGCAAGCAAGGCCTTGGCGGCCATCTTTACTGGGTCCCCATTGACCCCAATGGGGGTGATGGGGGGGGTCCCAAAGCAATGGGGGGGTCCAAAGCAATGGGGGGGTCCCAAAGCAATGGGGGGGGTCCCAAAGCAATGGGGGGGGGTCCAAAGCAATTGGGAGGTCCAAAGCAATGGGGGGGTCCCAAAGCAATTGGGGGGTCCCAAAGCAATGGGGGGGTCCCAAAGCAATGGGGGGGGGTCCAAAGCAATTGGGAGGTCCAAAGCAATGGGGGAGTCCCAAAGCAATTGGGGGGTCCCAAAGCAATGGGGGGGTCCCAAAGCAATGGGGGGGTCCCAATGCAATGGGGTCCCCCCCTACCTGTGGCAATAAACAGCTTCCATATGTAGCTTCCCCCCCCCAACCACAATAGAGGGGGGGGGAAATCGGGGGGGGGGGGGGGAATGGGCTGAACACCCCCAAAATGGGGGTCAATGTGGGGGGGGGGATGGGGGGCCATTGACCCCCATTATGGGGGGGTTGCCCCTCCCCACTGTGTGATATGTAAATAGGGATCGATACGACCTCAATAAAGGATTTCAAACGATGCCCCCCCCTTTTGTGTGTGAGCCCCCCTCCCGACCCACAAATACCCCCAGAGCCTATGGGGGGGCGATGGGGGGGGTAACTGGGGGGCAATAAGGGTCTATATGGGGGTAATTAGGTTCTATGGGGGGCAATAAGGGGTGATGGGGGTAATTGGGGGGGCAATTAGGATCTATGGGGGGCATTTAGGAGCTATGGGGGGGCAATAAGGGTCGATGGGGGTAATTGGGGGGCAATTAGGATCTATGGGGGGTATTTAGGAGCTATGGGGGGGCAATAAGGGTCGATGGGGGTAATGGGGGGGCAATTAGGATCTATGGGGGGTATTTAGGGGCTATGGGAGGGCAATAAGGGGCGATGGGGGGGGCGGAAGGGGCCGGTCCAGCGCAGGGGGCGTGGCCTTGCCGTTGCTCGGATACGGCCGCATCCGCGTTCCCATGGCAACGGCGCCGCCCGGCCCCTCCGCTGACGTCAGCCCCCGAAGCTTCCAGGCTCCGCCCCTCGCCGCTGGCCCCGCCCCTCTCCTCCTCCTCCCTCCCGCCCCCCCCCCCCCCCTTTCGGCTCCCCCCCCCCCATCATCATTCCCCCCCCCTTCCCCCCCCCCCCCGCACCCGCCGCAGCCGCGCACGGACCCGCATCGGCACCGGCACCCCCGGGACCCCCCCCGGACCCATTGGGACCAATCCGGACCCATCCGGACCCATTGGGACCAATCCGGACCCATCCGGACCCCCCCAACCCGCACGGGGAGACCCCAAAACCGGGCTCAGCCCTTCCCGAGCAGGTAAATGGGGACCCCGGCGCTTGGGGGGCTCGGGGGGGGGAAGGGGGGGGCAATGGGTCCGGGGGGGGGGCTTGGGGGGTCTGGGGGGGGTCCCTGTAGGGGTTGGGGGGGTTTGGGGTGCAGGGGGACGGGGCCCATGGGGGGGGATTGCACACGCGTGTGCGCGTCCTGATGGCATGAGCATGCTCCGACATCCATGCACACGCTGTCACATCCATGTACACGTTATTACATCCATGTACACGTTATTACATCCATGTACACGTTATTACATCCATGTACATGTTATTACATCCATGTACATGCTATCACATCCATGTACCTGTTACTACATTTATGTACATGCTATCACATCCATGTACACGCTACCACATCCATGTACACGCTATCACATCCATGTACACGCTATCACATCCATGTACACGTTATTACATCCATGTACACGCTACCACATCCATGTACCTGTTACTGCATCCCTGTACACGCTATCACATCCATGTACACGCTATCACATCCATGTACACGTTATTACATCCATGTACAAACTGTTACATCCATGTACACGCTATCGCATCCAGGTACACGCTGTTACATCCATGTACATGCTCTAACATCCATGTACAAACTATTGCATCCATGTACACGCTGTTACGTCCATGTACACGCTGTTACGTTCATGTACACGCTATTGCATCCATGCACACTCTGTTACATCCATTTACATGCTATCAGCTCCATGTACAGACTATCACATCCATGTACACATGATCACATCCATGTATATGCTCCAATATCCATGCACACGCTGTTACATCCATGTACACATTACATGCACGTATGCTCTATTACATCCATGTACATGTTATTACATCCATTCACATAATGCAACATCCACGTACATGCTCCAACACCCAGGCACACGCTATCACATCCATGTACACACTACGACATCCATGAACATGTTATCACACCCATGTACATGCTGTTACATCCATGTACACGTTATTGCATCCATGTGCAGGCTATTACATCCATGTACATGCTTGTTACATCCATGTACCCACTGTCACATCCATGTACATGCTATTGCATCCATGTACACGCTATTGCATCCATGTACACGTTATCACATCCATGTACGTTATCACATCCATGTACACGCTATCACATCCCTGCACACGCTATGCACATGCGTGTGGGGGGGGGTCGTGTCCAGCCGGGTGCGGGTGCAGGCACCCACGCGTGACGCGGCCGTGACTCAGCACGGGGGGGGGGCAACACATATGGGGGGGCAGGGCCCCCATGCAAGGCCCTGTTCTGTCCCCACAGGCGTCACGGAGGAGCCGCTGTCACGTGTGAAGCCGCGTCCTAAGCGTGTCCCAAGAGTGTCCTAAGCGTGTCCTAAGCGTGTCCCAAGCGTGTCTTAAGTGTGTTCCCCCCATGGCCTCATCTCCCCACCACCCCCCCCCAGGCCCCTGAGGGCACCTTGGGGGTGCAGGGGGCGGAGCCAAAGGGCCCCCCCTCCCCCATAGGGTAAGGGGCATCATCACCCCCATCACCCCCCCCCCAACACTTGGGGGCCCCCTGCACCCCACAGCCCTCACCTGGGCCCCCCCCACACCCTTTGGGGCTCCCATCGCTGGTGCCCCTCCACATAACCCCCTCCCTATCCGTTACTTGGGACCCCCCCCCCCCCCGCTCCATCCTTGGGGACCCCCCCACACCCATTACCAGGGTCCCCCCCATCCTTTAGGGCCCCATCCTTGGGGTCCCTCATAGCCCCTTCCCCACTCATCCTTTAGGGCCCTGTCCCTTTACCCCCCCATCCCCATCCTTTGATACCCCCATTCCCATCCTTTAGGCCGCCCCCCATCCTCATCCTTTGATTCCCCCACATTCCCATCCTTTGGTGCCCTCCATCCCCATTCTTTGGTCCCCCCCATCCTTTCCCCCCTCCATCCCCATCCTTCGATTCCCCCATCCCCATCCTTTGGTTCCCTCCATCTCCATCCTTGACTCCCCCCAACCCTACCCTTTAGGCTCCCCATCAATCCCTATCCTTTGGTTCCCCCCATTCCCATCCTTTAATCTCCCCCATCCTTTGGTCCCCTGTCTCCATCATTTAGGGACCCCCTATCCCAACCCTTTACCCCCCCATCTCCATCATTTAGGTACCCCCATCCCAACCCTTTACCCCCCCATCTCCATCATTTAGGGACCCCCCATCCCCATCCTTTACCCCCCCATCTCCATCATTTAGGGACCCCCCATCCCCATCCTTTGCTCCCCCCATCTCCATCATTTAGGGACCCCCCATCCCCATCCTTTACCCCCCCATCTCCATCATTTAGGGACCCCCATCCCAACCCTTTACCCCCCCATCTCCATCATTTAGGTACCCCCATCCCCATCCTTTACCCCCCTCATCTCCATCATTTAGGTACCCCCATCCCCATCCTTTACCCCCCATCTCCATCATTTAGGTACCCCCATCCCCATCATTTAGGTACCCCCATCCCCATCCTTTACCCCCCCATCTCCATCATTTAGGGACCCCCATCCCCATCCTTTACCCCCCATCTCCATCATTTAGGGACCCCCCCATCCCCATCCTTTATCCCCCCATCTCCATCATTTAGGTACCCCCATCCCCATCCTTTACCCCCCCATCTCCATCATTTAGGGACCCCCATCCCCATCCTTTGCTCCCCCCATCTCCATCATTTAGGGACCCCCATCCCCATCCTTTACCCCCCCATCTCCATCATTTAGGGACCCCCATCCCCATCCTTTACCCCCCCATCTCCATCATTTAGGGACCCCCATCCCCATCCTTTACCCCCCATCTCCATCATTTAGGTACCCCCATCCCCATCCTTTACCCCCCCATCTCCATCATTTAGGTACCCCCATCCCCATCCTTTACCCCCCATCCCCATCCTTTAGCCCCCCCCATTCCCCCCCCCGTCCGGCGGGGCTCGGGGGGCTCTGCCTCAGGCTGGACGCGCTCAAGCGCTGGGATGGGGGGGGCCCGCTCTGGTGCGAGCGGGGGGCGCAGGCGCTGCTCACGGCCGTGGGCGCCTTCGCGGCCTTCGGCCTCATGACCATCGCCATCGGCACCGATTACTGGCTCTACGCCCGCGCCGTCGTCTGCAACGCCAGCAACGCCACCGGCGACGACGGGGGGCAGCGGGACCGGCGCGAGCCGGGGGGGATGACCCACTCCGGGCTCTGGAGGGTCTGCTGCCTCGAGGGTGCGCGGCAACGGCGGGGGGAAAGGGGCAGCAATGGGGCAGCAATGGGGCAGCAATGGGGGGCAATGGGGGAGCAATGGGGCAGCAATGGGGGAGCAATGGGGCAGCAATGGGGGAGCAATGGGGGAGCAATGGGGCAGGAATGGGGCAGCAATGGGGGAGCAATGGGGGAGCAATGGGGGAGAAATGGGGCAGCATTGGGGCAGCAATGGGGGAGCAATGGGGCAGCAATGGGGGAGCAATGGGGCAGGAATGGGGGGAGCAATGGGGGAGCAATGGGGGGAGCAATGGGGGAGCAATGGGGGTATCAATGGGGGTATAAATGGGGGAGCAATGGGGCAGAAATGGGGGAGCAATGGGGAGCAATGGGGGGAGCAATGGGGTAGCAATGCGGCAGCAATGGGGGTATCAATGGGCAGCAATGAGGAGCATTAGGAGCATCACTGGGGCATTGGGAGCATCATTTGGGCATTGGAGGCATCATTGGGGCCAGCATTGTGGCATGGGGGGCATCATTGGGGCAGCAATGGGGGCAGCAATGGGGCAGCAATGGGGGTATCAATGGGGAGCATTGGGAGCATCACTTGGGCATTGAGGGCCATCATTGGGGCAGCAATGGGGCATTGGGGGCATCATTGGAGGCATCACTGGGGCATCATTAGGGGTATCAATGAGGGCATCACTGGGGTGCTGGGGGCATCACTGGGGCACTGGGGGCATCACTGGGGTATTGGGGGCATCATTGGGGTATTGGGGGCACTCTCAGGGGCTGCTGGGTCTTGAACAGCCGGAGGTGGCCCCTGGGGTCCTCAAATTCCATCCCTGTGATGTCCCCAGCTCCGTGGCATCCCCCTGGTGTCCCCATATCCCGACATCCCCGTATCCCGATATCCCTGTATCCTGATATCCCTGTATCCCGATATCCCAGCGTCCCCATATCCCGATATCCCCATATCTCGATATCCCTGTACCCCGATATCCCCATATCCAGTGTCCCCATATCCTGATATCCCCATATCCCGACATCCCTGTATCCTGATATCCCTGTATCCCGATATCCCAGTGTCCCCATATCCCGATATCCCCATATCTCGATATCCCTGTACCCCGATATCCCATATCCCAGTGTCCCCATATCCCGACATCCCTGTATCCTGATATCCCTGTATCCCGATATCCCAGTGTCCCCATATCCCGATGTCCCCATATCCCGATATCCCCATATCCCGGTGTCCCCCCGTCCCTACAGGCCTCAAGCGGGGGCTCTGCCTGAAGATCAACCACTTCCCTGAGGACATGGAGTACGACCACGACAGCGCCGAGTACCTGCTCCGTGAGTCACCATGGCAACCGCACCATCACCATAGCAACCGCCCCGTCACCATGGCAACCGCACCAGCATCACCCCAGCAGCAGTCCCCCCATCACCCCGCTGTCACCATGGCAACCGCACCAAGCATCACCCCAGCAATGGCCCCTCCATCACCCCGCTGTCACCATGGCACCCGCCCCAGCATCACCACAGCAGCGGTCCCCCCATCACCCCGCTGTCACCATGGCAACCGCACCAGCATCACCCCAGCAGCGGTCCCCCCATCACCCCGCTGTCACCATGGCAACTGCACCAGCATCACCCCAGCAATGGCCCCTCCATCACCCCGCTGTCACCATGGCAACCGCATCAGCATCACCCCAGCAACGGCCCCTCCATCACCCCGCTGTCACCATGGCAACCGCACCAGCATCACCCCAGCAACGGCCCCTCCATCACCCCGCTGTCACCATGGCAACCGCACCAGCATCACCCCAGCAACGGCCCCTCCATCACCCCGCTGTCACCATGGCAACCGCACCAAGCATCACCCCCCCATCTCCATGGCAATGACCCCCCCATCACCCCAGCAACCGCCTCCCTGTCACCATGGCAACCACCGCCATCCCCCCCGCAACTGCTTTGGCATCACCCCAGCAACGCCCCGGCGTTATCCCGCCGTCGCCATGGCAACGGCTGCGCTGTCGCCATGGCAACGGCGCTGTCAGCCTCCCGGAGCTGCCCCGGCGTCGCCATGGCAACCGCCCCAGCCACGCGGCTCCCATGGCAACAGAGGCTCCGTGGCAACGCCCCTCCCCTAGCAACAGTGCCCGGGTTCTGCTTCCTGATTGGCTGCCGGCAGAGGAGAGGAGGGGCAGCTTCCTGATTGGCTGCCAGCAGAGGAGAGGCGGAGCCGCCTCCTGATTGGCAGCCGGCAGAGGAAGGCGGGAGGCGGCATCCTGATTGGCTGCATTGCCCAGGAAACCTGCCCTGCTGATTGGCTGAGGGTCCCAGTGAGCACGTGCCTGGTTCTGATTGGGCTTGCCCCGTGCCCCTATTGGCTGGTGGCGTCAGCGAGCCTGGAGACTCTGCGCTCTGATAGGCTGCTGGTACCCCCTTTGGAAATCCTTCTTTCCAATTGGCTGCCGGTCCCAGGCACGCAGGATCCCCCCGCGCTCTGATTGGCTCCTTTCTCCTCATTGGGTCCCACTCTCCTCTGATTGGCTGCGGGCTGACTGACCCCCTAGGGGGCTCCCAGGCTCCGATTGGCCACCAGGCCTTGGGCCTCCCATTGGCCTGGGGTAGCTGATCCCCTGCCCTTAGCGTGCTCTGATTGGCTGCCTCCTCGAGCATTGGTGGCTACTTGATTCCCACGCCATTCCTGCCCTCTGATTGGCCGCCATCCCCGCGGGCTCCCATTGGCTGCCGCTCCCAGCTCCCCACCCTATCCCCGCGCTCTGATTGGCCACCCCATCTCCCATTGGCTGGCGCTGCCATTGGCCGGCGCGGGCAGGGCAGGCTCCCATTGGCTGTCTCCGCAGGGGTGGTGCGGGCCTCCAGCATCTTCCCGATCCTGAGCGCGGCGCTGCTGCTGCTGGGGGGGGTCTGCGTGGCCGCCAGCCGCATGCGGGGGGCCCGGACCAGCCTCGTGCTGGGGGCCGGCATCCTCTTTGTGGCTGCTGGTGGGTAACGGGGGTGATGGGGGGCAATGGGGCAATGGGGGTGATGGGGGGCAATGGGGGTGATGGGGGTGATGGGGGGCAATGGGGGTGATGGGGGTGATGGGGGGCAATGGGGATGATGGGGGTGATGGGGTGCAATGGGGGGCAATGGGGGTGATGGGGGCGATGGGGGACAATGGAAGTGAAAGGGGGAATGGGGGCAATGGGGGGGTAATGGTCGTAATGGGGGGAATGGGGGTGATGGGGGGAATGGGGGTGATGATTGTGTTTGGGGTGGTCCTGGGGGTGTCTATGGGGATGCGGGGGGAGGAATTATAGAGGGATCAAATCCCATCCACATTCCCATATTCCAATATCCCCCATCCCCTATCCCATACCCTATCTCCATACCCCAAATCCCCTAAACCACATCCCCATCCCCTATATCCCATACCCCTTATATCCCCATTCCCACCCCATCCCGATCCCATCCCACATCCTACATCCCATATCCTACATCCCATATACCCCATATCCCCTATACCCCATATCCCATACACTGTATGTCCCATATCCCATGTATCCCATCCCATTCCATCCCTTTTACTGCCTATATCCCCCATATGCCATATCGCATACCCCATATATCCGCTATTCCATATCCCCTGTATCCCACATTCTATATCCCATATATTCCTTATGCCATACCCCATATTCCCTATATCCCCTATACCCCATATCGCAACCCTATATCCCCTATAACCGCTATATCCCCCACACCCCCCATAACCCCTATAACCCTATAACCCCTATATCCCCCATACCCCCCACACCCCCCATAACCCCTATAACCCCTATATCCCTCACACCCCCCATAACCCCCATAACCCCTATAACCCCATACCCCCACACACCCCATACCCCCCCCACCCCCCCGAAGGCCTCAGCAACATCATCGGGGTCATCGTGTACATCTCCTCGAACGCGGGGGGGGAGCCGGGCCCCCGCCGGGAGGAGCCGCGCCGCCGCCATTACTCCTACGGCTGGTCCTTCTACTTCGGGGGGCTGAGCTTCATCCTGGCCGAGGCCATCGGCGTCCTCGCCGTCAACCTCTACATCGAGCGGCACCGCAAGTCACGTGCGCCGGTCACGGGAACAACGCCGGCGGCGCCGCCCCCCCCACCCCGCGCCGCCCCCCCCGGCCCCAGGCCCCGCCCCCCCGCCGCCGCTCCCGCTCCAGCTCCCGCTCCAGCGACCCCGGCGCGGCCCCGCCCCCTCCCCCCCGCCGCCCCCTCCCCCACCCCCCCCCCGCCCCCCGCTTCCAAGGGTGGGGGAGGGGCCGCCCCCCCGCAGACATCTCCATGTACACGCTGAGCAGGGACGGGGGCGGGGCCGTGACGTCATCGGCCCCGCCCCCACCCGGCACCCCCGGCCCCCCCTTCCTGCAGCTCCACAACGCATTCGGGAAGGAACCTCCCGGAGCGGGGGAGGGGGAGCGGGGGGAGGGGGAGGGGCGGGGGGAGGGGGCGGCCCCGAGAGCGTGTCCGGGACCAGCACCCTCAACCGGAAAACGACCCCCGTGTAGGGACCCCCCCCCCCCCCCCCCCCCCCCCCCCCCACTGCGGGCAATGGGACAGCACCCATTGGGACCCATTGGGGACCCCCCAGCACCCATTGGGACCCATTGGGGACCCCCAGCACCCATTGGGACCCCCAGCACCCATTGGGACCCATTGGGACCCCCAGCACCCATAGGGACCCATTGGGACCCCCAGCACCCATTGGGACCCATTGGGGACCCCCAGCACCCATTGGGACCCATTGGGAACCCCCAGCACCCATAGGGACCCATTGGGGACCCCCAGCACCCATAGGGACCCATTGGGACCCCCAGCACCCATTGGGACCCATTGGGGACCCCCAGCACCCATTGGGACCCATTGGGAACCCCCGCACCCATTGGGACCCCCAGCACCCATTGGGACCCCCAGCACCCATTGGGACCCATTGGGAACCCCCGCACCCATTGGGACCCATTGGGAACCCCAGCACCCATTGGGACCCCCAGCACCCATTGGGACCCATTGGGAACCCCCGCACCCATTGGGACCCCCAGCACCCATTGGGACCCATTGGGGACCCCCAGCACCCATAGGGACCCATTGGGACCCCCAGCACCCATTGGGACCCATTGGGACCCCCAGCATCCATTGGGACCCATTGGGGACCCCAGCACTCATTGGGACCCCCAGCACCCATAGGGACCCACTGGGGACCCCAGCCCCCATAGGGACCCCAGCATCCATTGGGACCCACTGGGGACCCCAGCACCCATAGGGACCCATTGGGACCCCCAGCATCCATTGGGACCCACTGGGGACCCCAGCATCCATTGGGACCCATTGAGAACCCCCCCACCCATTGGGACCCCCGACATCCATTGGGACCCCCCCGCACCCATTGGGACACCCCAGCATCCACTGGGACCCATTGGGACTCCCCAGCATCCATAGGGCCCCATTGGGACCCCCCCGCACCCATTGGAACCCCCCAGTGCCCGTAGGGACCCATGGGGCCTCCCCCCGAGCCATTGGGACCTATTGGTCCCCCCCCTCGGATGCTTTGGGTCATCCCAGCATCCCTAGGGACCCATTGGGTCCCCCCCCCCGCACCCATTGGGCCCCCGCAGCATCCATAGGGCCCCATTCACCCCCAGTGCCCCCCCCTTGCTCCCAGCCGCCCCGTTAATGAATGTGTGTTAATTGTCCCTGTGTCTATGGAGGGGGGGGGGCCGGGATCATTGGGAGCCCCCCCCCAATCGCGTGCCCCGAGGCCACGCCCCTCCTCTGTACAGCCCCGCCCCTCCTCTGTACAGCCCCGCCTCTTCCCCGCGTTAGCTACGCCCCCTCCTTGTTCATGTGATCCGCGCTGGCCCCGCCCCTTTTGTACAGGCCCCGCCCCCGCGCCCCTCACCCCCCCCCCCCCCGCATGGGTTTTTACGCTGTTTAAATAAACCGGAGTCTCTGGAACAGCCGCCAGGGGAGGGGGGAGGGAGGCGGTCACCATGGCAACGGGGGGAGGGAGGCTGTCACCATGGCAACGGGGGAGGCGGTCACCATGGTAACGGGGGAGGGAGGCTGTCACCATGGCAACGGGGGGAGGGAGGCTGTCACCATGGCAACGGGGGGAAGGCTGTCACCATGGCAACGGGGGGAGGGAGGCGGTCACCATGGCAACGGGGGGAGGGAGGCTGTCACCATGGCAACGGGGGGAAGGCTGTCACCATGGTAACGGGGGGAGAGAGGCTGTCACCATGGCAACGGGGGGAGAGAGGCTGTCACCATGGCAACGGGGGGAGGGAGGCGGTCACCATGGCAACGGGGGGAGGGAGGCGGTCACCATGGCAACGGGGGGAGGCTGTCACCATGGCAACGGGGGGAGGCGGTCACCATGGTAACGGGGGGAGGCGGTCACCATGGCAACGGGGGGAGGCTGTCACCATGGCAACGGGGGGGAGGGAGGCGGTCACCATGGCAACGGGGGGAAGGCTGTCACCATGGCAACGGGGGGAGGCGGTCACCATGGCAACGGGGGGAGGCTGTCACCATGGCAACGGGGGGAGGCGGTCACCATGGCAACGGGGGGAGGCGGTCACCATGGTAACGGGGGGAGAGAGAGGCTGTCACCATGGTAACGGGGGGAGGCTGTCACCATGGTAACGGGGGAGGGAGGCTGTCACCATGGCAACGGGGGGCTGTCACCATAGCAAAGGAGGGAGGGAGGCTGTCGCCATGGTAACGGGTGGAGGCTGTCGCCATGGTAACGGGTGGAGGCTGTTGCCATGGCACTGGGGGGAGGCTGTCACAATGGCAACGGGAGGAGGGAGGTTATCACCATGGCAATGGGAGGGGTGTCACCATGGCAACCAGGGGAGGTTGTCTCAATGGCAACAAGGGGAGGCTGTTGCCATGGCAATGGGGGGCTGTCACTATGGCAACGGGGGGAAGGTTGTCGCCATGGCAATGTGGGGGCTGTTGCTGTGGCAACGGGAGGGGGGGAGGCTGTCACCATGGTAATGGGAGGAGGCTGTCACCATGGCAACGCTGAGGACAGCGGGTTTGGGGGGGTTGAGGGGGTGTGTCCTCCAAGACGGGGTGTGGGAGTCATTAATATTAATGAGGGATAATGGTAATGAGGGATTAATATTAATGACGCCCTTAGAACCAGCTTCCTGCCCTCCCATTGGCTCCTCACCCTGTCAATCATCGCTGCAGCCGCCCTCATCGGGCAGCTCCCGCCCCCCAGGGGTGTTCCTGACCTCTCATTGGCCAACCTCCTTGCCAATCCCATACCTCCGCCTCCCATTGGCTGACGCCCTCCGCCGCTCCCCGCGCCTCACCGGCCTTACGTCCCGGCGTGCGCTCCTATTGGCTGCGACCCAGCATCGATCAAAGCTTGCGGCGTTCCCATTGGCTGGGGAGGCGGGCGCAGGCGCGGCGGAGGAGCCGAGGGGCGCGGGCGGAGCAGCCCCGGCAGCGGCCGCGATGGAGGACGGCGGCTACGGTAGGGCCGGGCCGGGGGGGCCGGGGGGGTCCCGGTACGGCCCCGGTAGAGCCCCCCCCCCCCCCCCCCCCATGGCGACGGCGGCCGCGAGGGGCCAGTTCCGGGGGGGAGGGGGGAAGCCAATCAAAGGAGGCCTCGTTCGAGCCAGGCCACGCCCCCTTTGTGGGAGGCCACGCCCCGTTGTGGCCAGGCCACGCTCACAAGGGAGGCGGGGTTGGGCGGAGGGGGCGTGGCTGGCGGGGAAGGGGGGCGTGGTCAGGACTGCGGGGGTGGGTGTGGTTTGGGAGGGGTCAAGGCGGGGCTGTGGGGAAAGGGGCGTGGCTTGTGGGAACGGGGGCGTGGTCAGGGCGTTGGGGTCCTGAATGGGGCATGAGGATGGAGAGGGGCAATGGGCGTGGCTTAGGGGAAGGGGGTGGGGCCATTACTCCCCCACCCCATCCCCACCCCATCCCCACCCCACCCCATGCCCGTTCCCATTCCCGTTCCTGTTCCCTTTCCCATCCTGTTCCCGTTCCCATTCCTGTTCCCATTCCCGTCCCATTCCCATTCCGTTCCCACCCCGATCCCATTCCCGTTCCCATTCCCATTCCCGTCCCGTTCCCATCCCGTTCCTGTCCCCATTCCTGTTCCCGTTCCCATCCCGTTCCCGTTCCGGTTCACACCCCATTCCCACCCTGTTCCCGTTCCCATCCCATTCCTGTTCCTGTTCCCGTTCCCATTCCCGTTCCCGTTCCCATCCCGTTCCCATTCCCATCCCGTTCCCGTTCCCATTCCCGTTCCCATCCCGTTCCGTTCCCATCCCGTTCCCACCCTGTTCCCGTTCCCGTTCCCATCCCGTTCCCACCCCGTTCCTGTTCCCGTTCCCATCCCCACCCCATTCCTGTTCCCGTTCCCATCCCGTTCCCGTTCCTGTTCCCGTTCCCATCCCGTTCCCGTTCCCGTTCCCGTTCCCATCCTGTTCCCATTCCCGTTCCTGTTCCCATCCCGTTCCCATCCCTTACCCGTTCCCATCCCGTTCCCATTCCCGTTCCCGTTCCCATCCCGTTCCCATCCCGTTACCGTTTCCGTTCCCATCCCGTTCCCGTTCCCATCCCGTTCCCATCCCATCCCATCCCGTTCCCATCCCGTTCCCATTCCCGTTCCCATTCCCATCCCGTTCCCATCCCGTTCCCGTTCCCATTCCCGTTCCCATTCCCATTCCCGTTCCCATCCCGTTCCCTTTCCCATTCCCGTTCCCATTCCCATTCCCGTTCCCATCCCGTTCCGTTCCCATCCCGTTCCCGTTCCCACCCTGTTCCCGTTCCCGTTCCCATCCCGTTCCCACCCCGTTCCTGTTCCCGTTCCCACCCCATTCCCATCCCCACCCCATTCCCATTCCCGTTCCCATTCCCGTTCCCGTTCCCATCCCATTCCCGTTCCTGTTCCCGTTCCCATCCCGTTCCCGTTCCCGTTCCCATCCCGTTCCCGTTCCCATTCCCGTTCCCGTTCCCGTTCCCATCCCATTCCCGTTCCTGTTCCCGTTCCCATCCCGTTACGTTCCCGTTCCCGTTCCCATCCTGTTCCCGTTCCTGTTCACATCCCGTTCCCATCCCGTTCCCGTTCCCGTTCCCATTCCCGTTCCCGTTCCCATTCCCATTCCCATTCCCATTCCCATTCCCGTTCCCGTTCCCATTCCCATCCCGTTCCCATTCCCATTCACATTCCCATTCCCGTTCCCGTTCCCATTCCCATCCCGTTCCCATTCCCGTTCCCGTTCCCATCCCGTTCCCGTTCCCGTTCACATTCCCATTCCCGTTCCCGTTCCCATTCCCGTTCCCGTTCCTGTTCCCGTTCACATTCCCGTTCCCGTTCCCGTTCCCATTCCCGTTCCCGTTCCCGTTCCCGTTCACATTCCCGTTCCCGTTCCCGTTCCCATTCCCGTTCCCGTTCCTGTTCCCACCCCATTCCCATTCCCGTTCCCGTTCCCATTCCCGTTCCCATTCCCGTTCCCGTTCCTGTTCCCACCCCATTCCCATTCCCGTTCCCGTTCCCATTCCCGTTCCCGTTCCCATCCCGTTCCCGTTCCCACCCCATTCCCGTTCCCATTCCCGTTCCCATTCCCATTCCCATTCCCGTTCCCGTTCCCGTTCCCATTCCCGCTCCCGTTCCCGTTCCCGTTCCCATTCCCGTTCCCGTTCCCATCCCATTCCCGTTCCCATTCCCATTCCCGTTCCCGTTCCCATTCCCGCTCCCGTTCCCGTTCCCAGTGCCCCCGGACCTGACGCCCGAGGAGCGCCTGGAGCTCGAGAGCATCCGGCGCCGGAAGCAGGAGCTGCTGGGGGAGATCCAGCGCCTGCGGGAGGAGCTCAGCGAGGCCATGAGCGAGGTGGAGGGGCTGGAGGCCAACGAGGGCAGGTGGGGAACAGCCCCACATCGGCCCCATGGACCCCATTGACCCCATGGACCCCCATTGACCCCATTGACCCCATTGACCCCATGGACCCCATTGACCCCATTGACCCCATGGACCCCATTGACCCCATGGACCCCCATTGACCCCATTGACCCCATGGACCCCATTGACCCCATGGACCCCCATTGACCCCATTGACCCCATTGACCCCATGGACCCCATTGACCCCATTGACCCCATTGACCCCATGGACCCCATGGACCCCATTGACCCCCATGGACCCCCATTGACCCCATGGACCCCCATTGACCCCATTGACCCCATGGACCCCCATTGACCTCATTGACCCCATGGACCCCCATTGACCTCATTGACCCCATGGACCCCCATTGACCCCATGGACACCATGGACCCCTTTGACCTCCATGGACCCCATGGACCCCCATTGACCCCATTGCCCCCCATGGACCCCATGGACCCCATTGACCCCATGGACCCCATGGACCCCCATGGACCCCATTGCCCCCATGGACCCCCATTGACCCCCATTGACCCCATGGACCCCATGGACCCCATGGACCCCCATTGACCTCCTTGTACCCCATGGACCCCATTGCCTCCCACTGCCCCCATTGACCCCTAATGACCTCCATGTACTCCATTGACCCCCATTGCCCCCCATGGACCCCATTGCATCTCACTGCCCCCCAATGACCCCAATGACCCCCATGGACTCCATTGACCCTCTTTGCCCCCCATTAAGCTCCAACACACCCATTCCCCCCATTGGCCCCATTCCCCCCATTGCCCCTATTACTCACATTCCCCCCATTGGCCCCATTCCCCCCATTTGCCCCATTGCACCCATTGTCCCTCATTCCCCCATTCCCCCCATTGCCCCATTCCCCCCATTGGCCCCATTGGCCCCATTCCCCCCATTGCCCCATTCCCCCTCATTACCCCCCATTGCCCCCCCTGACCCCCCTTTCCCTGCAGCAAGACCCTGCAGCGGAGCCGTAAGATGGGGATGGGCCGCAAGAAGTTCAACATGGACCCCAAGAAGGTGGCAGCAGGAGGGGGGTGGGGGGGGTCCCGTCCCCCCCCATTGCCCCCCCTGACCCCCCCATGGGTGCAGGGGATCCAGTTCCTGGTGCAGAACGAGCTGCTCCGGCTGACGGCCGAGGACGTCGCCCGCTTCCTCTACAAGGGCGAGGGGCTCAACAAGACGGCCATAGGGGACTACCTGGGGGAGAGGTGGGGCCGGAGGGGCGGGGCTTGGCGGGGAGGGGCGGGGCTTAACGGGGAGGGGCTCAACAAGACGGCCATAGGGGACTACCTGGGGGAGAGGTGGGGCCGGAGGGGCGGGGCTTAACGGGGAGGGGCTCAACAAGACGGCCATAGGGGACTACCTGGGGGAGAGGTGCAAGGGGAGGGGCTTAGGGGAGGGGCAGGCCTTGAGGGGAGGGGCTTAATGGGATGGGAGGGGCTTAAGGAGAAGGGGCTTAGGAGGTGGGGAATAGGGGAAAGGGAGGGGTTTAAGGGGAGGGGAGGTGCTTGAGGAAGGGGCGGGGTTTAAAGGGGAGGGGGCAAGGGAGTGGGCTCCTAGAAGGGGAGGGGCTTAATGATGGGGGGTGGGGGTTCCCTAAGCCACTCCCCTTTGGGTGGGTGGAGTGGTTTGCGCTGGGTGGGCGGGGCCAGGCGCGGTGGGCGGGGCCATGTGTGACTCCTCCCCCCCCAGGGAGGAGTTCAACCTGGGCGTGCTCCACGCCTTCGTGGACCTGCACGAGTTCACGGACCTGAACCTGGTGCAGGCGCTGAGGTGAGGCCGGGGGGGCAATGGGGGCACTGGGGGGTAATGGGGTAATGAGGGCAATGGGGGTTATGGGGTAATGGGGGCAATGGGGGTTATGGGGTAATGGGGGCAATGGGGGTTATGGGGTAATGAGGGCAATGGGGGTTATGGGGTAATGGGGGCAATGGGGGTTATGGGGTAATGAGGGCAATGGGGGTTATGGGGTAATGAGGGCAATGGGGGTTATGGGGTAATGGGGGCAATGGGGGTAATGGGGTAATGAGGGCAATGGGGGTTATGGGGTAATGGGGGCAATGGGGGTAATGGGGTAATGAGGGCAATGGGGGTAATGGGGTAGTGAGGGCAATGGGGGTTATGGGGTAATGAGGGCAATGGGGGTTATGGGGTAATGAGGGCAATGGGGGTTATGGGGTAATGAGGGCAATGGGGGTTATGGGGTAATGAGGGCAATGGGGGTAATGGGGTAGTGAGGGCAATGGGGGTTATGGGGTAATGAGGGCAATGGGGGTTATGGGGTAATGAGGGCAATGGGGGTAATGGGGTAGTGAGGGCAATGGGGGTAATGGGGTAGTGAGGGCAATGGGGGTTATGGGGTAATGAGGGCAATGGGGGTTATGGGGTAATGAGGGCAATGGGGGTTATGGGGTAATGAGGGCAATGGGGGTTATGGGGTAATGAGGGCAATGGGGGTTATGGGGTAATGGGGGGCAGTGGGGGAATGGGGAGAATGGGGTTGTATTGGGGTCAATGGCGGTGCATTGGGGCCAGTGGGAGTGCATTGGGGTCAATGGGGGGTTTGAGGGTGCATTGGGGTCAGTGGGGTGCATTGGGGTCAATGGGGGTGCATTGGGGTCAATGAGGGTGCATTGGGGTCAATGGGGATGCATTGGGGTCGCATTGGGGTCATGGGGGTGCATTGGGGTTGCATTGGGGTCAGTGGGGGTTTTGGGGGTGCATTGGGGGTGCATTGGGGTCAATGGGGATGCATTGGGGATGCATTGGGGTCAATGGGGATGCATTGGGGGTGCATTGGGGTCAATGGGGATGCATTGGGGATGCATTGGGGTCAATGGGGATGCATTGGGGTCAATGGGGGGGCATTGGGGATGCATTGGGGTCAATGGGGATGCATTGGGGATGCATTGGGGTCAATGGGGATGCATTGGGGTCAATGGGGGGGCATTGGGGATGCATTGGGGTCAATGGGGGTGCATTGGGGTCAATGGGGGTTTTGGGGTCCCCCCCCCCCCCAGGCAGTTCCTTTGGAGCTTTCGGCTGCCGGGGGAGGCGCAGAAAATCGACCGCATGATGGAGGCCTTCGCGCAGCGGTACTGCCTCTGCAACCCGGGGGTCTTCCAGTGCACGGGTACGGCCCCATAGAAACCCCATTGAGAGCCACTGAACCCCATTGAGCCCCATTGAGAGCCATTGAACCCCATTGAACCCCATTGAGAGCCATTGAACCCCATTGAACCCCATTGAGAGCCATTGAACCCCATTGAACTCCCACTGCCTCTGCCACCCGGGGGTCTTCCAGTGCATGGGTACGGCCCCATAGCGCCCCATAGAAACCCCATTGAAAGCCACTGAGATCCATTGAACCCCATTGAAACCCATTGAGAGCCGTTGAGTCCCATTGAGAGCCATTGACATCCATTGAGTCCCATTGAAACCCATTGAGACCCATTGAGACCCATTGCCCCCCCTGTAATGGGTGCCCCTATCAATGGCGCCCCTCCCACCCAATGGCTACCCCCATCAATGGGTACCCCCCACCCAATGGTTCCCCCCACCCAATGGCTACTCCTACTAATGGGTACCCTCCACCCAATGGGTCCCCCTACCCATGGATCCCCCCACCCATGGGTCCCCCCACCCAATGGCTCCCCCCACCCAATGGCTCCCCCCATCAATCCCCACCTAATGGCTATCCCCATCAATGGGTACCCCCACCCAATGGCTGTCCCCATCAATGGGTACCCCCACCCAATGGCTACCCCTGTCAATGGGTCCCTCCATCAATGGCTACCCCTATCAATGGGTCCCCCCACCCAATGGCTCCCCCCATCAATCCCCACCCAATGGCTGTCCCCATCAATGGGTACCCCCACCCAATGGCTCCCCCCATCAATGGCTCCCCCGGTCAATGGGTGCCCCCACCCATGGGTGCCCCCCGCAGACACGTGCTACGTGCTGTCCTTCGCCGTGATCATGCTCAACACGAGCCTGCACAACCCCAACGTGCGGGACAAGCCCTCGGCCGAGCGCTTCGTGGCCATGAACCGCGGCATCAACGACGGCGGGGACCTGCCCGAGGAGCTGCTCAGGGTGGGCGGGGCCGGCACGCCATTGGCTGAGAGCAACGAGGGGGCGGGGGGGATGGAGAGGGAGGGGCTGGGGAGGGCGGGGTGGGATGGGTGTGAATGGGAGGGGCTTTGGGGGCATGGCTTAGAGGGAGAAGGAGGGGCTGGGAGGCTTGGGTGTGAATGGGAGGGGCTTAAAGGGCGTGGCTTGGAAGGAGGGGCTGGGAGGCAGAGTGGGCGTGGTCAACGAGGGGGCGTGGTCTAGGGCGCGAATGGGACGTGGCTTAAGGGGGAGTGGCTCGGAGGGAGGTGATTGCTGATTGGCTGGGAGGCGGAGGGGATGCGGGCTTGGGTGTCAATGGGAGGGGCTTAAGGGGCGTGGCTTGGACGAAGAGGGAGGGGCTGGGAGGTGGAAGGGGCGTGGTTTGGGAGGGGCGTGTCTAAGGGTAGGGGTTAAAGGGTGGTTGCATGGGAGGGGCTTATGTGACTTTATATGGGCTTTATGGGTGTGGTTTGTTGCTATGGGAGGAGCTTCCGTGTCCATATATGGGCAATGGGTGTGGTTTATCGCTGTGGGCGGGGCTTATGAGTCTATATATGGGTTTATGGGTGTGGTTTGTTGCTATAGGCTGGGTTTATATGCCCATATATGGACTGTATGGGCGTGATTTATTTCCGTGGGCGGGGCTTAGGGCTCTGTGGGCAGATCGGATTGGCTGTGGGGGTGTGTCCTGTCCTGACCCCGCCCCCTTGCCCCATAGAACCTCTACGAGAGCATCCGGAGCGAGCCCTTTAAGATCCCGGAGGACGACGGCAACGACCTGACCCACACCTTCTTCAACCCGGACCGCGAGGGCTGGCTGCTGAAGCTGGGTGAGCCAACGCCGTGGGTCCCTGTGGGTGGCCCCACTGCCTGGGTCCCAATGGGGGGTTATTCCCATGCACACGTCACTGATGGAACCTCTTTCTGTTTCCCCTTCTCTGTACCCCCCAATTCCCTCCCCATCACCCCCCATCCCTCCCCATTGCTGCTGATGCCCGCCCCGCCCCCCCAGGAGGTAGGTGCCCCCCCCCTTTATCCATCCCCTTCCTCCTCCCATCCCCCTTTGGAACCCCCCCAATGTGGCTCCATGGGGACCCCCCCACACCTCACCCCCCCCCCCAGGCGGGCGGGTGAAGACGTGGAAGCGCCGCTGGTTCATCCTCACCGACAACTGCCTCTATTACTTCGAGTACACCACGGTGAGAGCCCAAACCAGCCCAAAATAACCCCAAACCAGACCAAAATAACCCAAAACAGCCAAAAATAACCCCAAAACCAGCCCCAAATACCCCAAAACAGCCCAAAATAACCCCAAACCAGACCAAAATAACCCCAAACCAGCCCCAAATACCCCAAAACAGCCCAAAATAACCCCAAAACCAGCCCCAAATACCCCAAACCAGCCCAAAATAACCCCAAACCAGACCAAAATAACCCCAAAACAGCCCCAAATACCCCCAAACAGCCCAAAATAACCCCAAACCAGACCAAAATAACCCCAAACCAGCCCCAAATACCCCAAAACAGCCAAAAAAAAAACCAAAACCAGCCCCAAATACCCCAAACCAGCCCAAAATAACCCCAAACCAGCCCAAAATAACCCCAAACCAGCCCCAAATACCCCCAAACAGCCCAGAAAAACCCCAAAACAGCCCCCAAATACCCCAAAACAGCCCCAAAATACCCCAAAACAGCCCAAAATAACCCCAAAACAGCCCCAAATACCCCAAAACAGCCCCAAATACCCCCAAACAGCCCAGAAAAAAACCAAAACAGCCCAAAATAACCCTAAAACAGCCTAAAATCACCCCAAAACCAGCCAAAACAGCCGAAAATCACACCACAATACCCCCAAACCAGCCCAAAGTAACCCAAAATCCCCCCAAAATCCCCTGGAAACAGCCCCCAAACCAGCCCCAAACCCCCCCCAACCTCCTCAAACCCAAAGACACCAAAATGAGCCCCAAAGCAGCCCCAAATACACCAAAATGCCCCAAACCCACCCCGGGCTCCTCTGACCCCCCTGAACCCCATTGGGACCCCCTGACCCCCATTCCTGTGCCCCCCCCCCCAGGACAAGGAGCCACGCGGGATCATCCCATTGGAGAACCTGAGTATCCGGGAGGTGGAGGATCCCCGGAAGCCGGTGAGAGCCCCCCCAGTGCCCCCCATTGCCCCATTACCCCCATTGCCCCCATTGCCCCCCATTACCACCCACTGCCCCCATTACCTCATGGCCTCCCATTGCCCCCATTGCTCCCCATTGCCTCCATTGATCCATTCCATTCCCCCCATTGCCCCATTCCCCCCATTGTCCCTATTACCCCCATTCCCCCCCATTCCCCCCATTGTCCCTATTACCCCCATTGCCCCATCACCCCCTTGCTGACCCGTGCCCCCCCCAGCACTGCTTCGAGCTCTACATCCCCAACAACAAGGGGCAGCTCATCAAGGCCTGCAAGACGGAGGCCGACGGGCGCGTGGTGGAGGGGAACCACGTCGTGTACCGCATCTCGGCGCCCACCCGCGAGCAGAAGGACGAGTGGATCAAGGCCATCCAGTGAGTGCCCAACGGGCTCAAAGCACCCAAAACTGGGGCAAAACACCCAAAACGGGCAAAAACCACCCAAAAACGGGCAAAAACCACCCAAAAATGGGCAAAAAACACCCAAAAACGGGCAAAAACCACCCAAAACCGGGGCAAAACACCCAAAACCGGGGCAAAACACCCAAAACGGGCAAAAACCACTCAAAAACGGACACAAAACACCCAAAAATGGGCACAAAAAACCCAAACCAGGCACAAAACACCCAAACCGGGCAAAAAACACCCAACAACGGGCAAAAACCACCCAAAAACGGGCAAAAACCACCCAAAAATGGGCAAAAAACACCCAAAAACGGGCAAAAACCACCCAAAACCGGGGCAAAACACCCAAAACCGGGGCAAAAAACACCCAAAACGGGCAAAAACCACCCAAAAACGGACACAAAACACCCAAAAATGGGCACAAAAAACCCAAACCAGGCACAAAACACCCAAACCGGGCAAAAAACACCCAAAAACGGGCAAAAACCACCCAAAACCGGGGCAAAACACCCAAAACCGGGGCAAAAAACACCCAAAACGGGCAAAAACCACCCAAAAACGGACACAAAACACCCAAAAATGGGCACAAAAAACCCAAACCAGGCACAAAACACCCAAACCGGGCAAAAAACACCCAACAACTGGCAAAAACCACCCAAAAACGGGCAAAAACCACCCAAAAATGGGCAAAAAACACCCAAAAACGGGCAAAAAACACCCAAAACCGGGGCAAAACACCCAAAACGGGCAAAAACCACCCAAAAACGGACACAAAACACCCAAAAATGGGCACAAAAAACCCAAACCAGGCACAAAACACCCAAAACGGGCAAAAAACACCCAAAAACGGGCAAAAACCACCCAAAACCGGGGCAAAACACCCAAACCGGGCAAAAAACATCCAAAACCGGGCACAAAACACCCAAAACGGGCAAAATCACCCAAAACCGGGCACAAAACACCCAAAACCGGGCACAAAACACCCAACAACGGGCAAAAACCACCCAAAACCGGGGCAAAACACCCAAAACGGGCACAAAACTCCCAAAACGGGCAAAACACCCAAAACGGGCAAAAAACACCCAAAACCGGGCACAAAACACCCAACAACGGGCAAAACACCCAAAACGGGCAAAAAACACCCAAAACCGGGCACAAAACACCCAAAACCGGGCAAAAAAACACCCAAAACAGGGCACAAAACACCCAAAACGGGCAAAAACCACCCAAAACGGGCAAAAAACACCCCAAAACAGACACAAAACACCCAAAACGGGCAAAACCCACACAAAAACGGGCACAAAACACCCAAAATGGGTGCAAAACACCCAAAACCGGGCAAAAAACACCCCAAAACGGGCAAAAACCACCCAAAACTGGGCGCAAAACACCCAAAAACGGGCAAAAAACACCCAAACCGGGCACAAAACACCCAAAAACAGGCTCAAAACACCCAAAATGGGCACAAAACACCCAAAACGGGCAAAATCACCCAAAACCGGGCACAAAACACCCAAACCGGGCACAAAACACCCAAAAACAGGCTCAAAACACCCAAAATGGGCACAAAACACCCAAAACCGGGCACAAAACACCCAAAACGGGCACAAAACACCCAAAACCAGGCACAAAACACCCAAAAACAGGCTCAAAACACCCAAACCGGGCACAAAACACCCAAAACGGGCACAAAACACCCAAAAGCGAGCTGGAAACGGCCAAAACCAGGCGAAAACGCCCACTTTAAACCCAGCCCTTGGAGACCCCAACCCCCCCCGGAGCCCAACCTCCCCCCCAGGGATCCCCCAAACCCCCTTGGGGACCCCAGATCCGTTCTGCCCCCCCAGGGCCGCGGTGAGCGTGGACCCCTTCTATGAGATGCTGGCGGCGCGCAAGAAGCGGATCTCGGTCAAGAAGAAGCAGGAGCAGCCCTGAGGGGGGGGGGAACTCCCCCGAACCCCCCCCAATCGCGAGGGACCCCCACAAAGACCATGGGGGGGGCACAAGGACAATGAGGACAGACTGGACCCCCCCGGACCACAATGGATGCTCCCAGGACCTTAAGGACCCCCCCTGGACCACAATGGATGCTCCCAGGACCTTAAGGACCCCCCCTGGACCACAATGGATGCTCCCAGGACCCCCCTGGACCACAATGGATGCTCCCAGGACCCCCCCTGGACCACAATGGATGCTCCCAGGTCCTTAAGGATACCCCCCCAAGACCACAATGGAACCTTCCAGGACCTTAAGGACCCCTCCCAGGACCTTAAGGGAACCCCACAAGGAGCCGGGACCCCCTCATCACTGCAATGGAACCTCCCAATGACAACAAGGACACACCCCCCCCCCCCCCGGACCACAATGGATGCTCCCAGGACCTCAAGGACCCCCCCAGCACCACAATGGATGCTCCCAGGACCCCCATGGATGCTCCCAGGACCACCAGGACCCCCCCAACCCTTAATGGGTTCCCCCCCCATGGGCCCCCCCCAACCCCTTTTGAGTTGGGGGGGGGTGTCACAGACACGGACCCTCCCATTGGACACACGGGGGGGGGGGGGGGGGATGCACGCACACGTGGGGCTTCTGCTGGGCAGAACCCCCCCCCCCGCCCCCCGGGTTTGGGGGGGTCCTCTGTGCCCCCCCCTTTTATTTATGGCTCTGCCCCATTAAAGCTGCCCCATTGAGGGGGGTCCGGCCGCATTGGGGGGGGTTTGGGGGGTGGAGGGGGGGGCAGCATCTTCGTGTCAGGTTTTATTCCATGTTTGGGGGGGAAACCAGCATTTTGGGGGTGAACCCATTGGGGTGGGCTTGGGGGGGGCAGGGAGGGGACCCCTAAATGGGGACCAAGGGGTTGAGGGGGGGCTCATTGGGGGGGCCCTACAGGGGGGTGTCAGGGGATGGGAAGGTCCCATTGTGGGGGGGGGGGGGGGGAGGTAATGAGAAGGTCCCATTGACGGGGGGTGGTGTCCTACTGCTCTCAATGGAGGGGGGGGCAGGGTAATGGGAAGGTTCCATTGAGTTGGGGGGGGGGCCAGGGGATGGGAAGGTCCCATTGAGTGGGGGGGGTGGTCCTATTGCTGTCAATGAGGGGGGCAGGGGATGGGAAGGTCCCATTGATCGGGGGGGGGATGAGGGGTCCCATTGATGGGGGGGGGGGAATGGGGGGGTTCCATTGATGGGGGGGGGATGGGGGGATGGGAAGGTCCCATTGATGGGGGGGTTCCTATTGATGGGGGGGGAATCGGGGGGTGCCATTGATGGGGGGGGATGGGGGGGTCCCATTGATGGGGGGTTCCATTGATGGGGGGGAGGGGGGGGATCCCATTGATGGGGGGAGGGGGGCGGTGCCATTGATGTGGGGGGGATGGGGGGGGAGGGGGGGATCCCATTGATGAGGGGGGGATGGGGGGGGTGCCATTGATGGGGGGGAGGGGGGGTCCCATTGATGGGGGGGGGATGGGGGGTCCCATTGATGGGGGGGATGGGGGATCCCATTGATGGGGGGGGATGGGGGATCCCATTGATGGGGGGGAGGGGGGGTGCCATTGATGGGGGGGAGGGGGGGGTGCCATTGATGGGGGGGAGGGGGGGATCCCATTGATGGGGGGGGAGGGGGGCGGTGCCATTGATGGGGGGGGATGGGGGATCCCATTGATGGGGGGGAGGGGGGGATCCCATTGATGTGGGGAGGGGGGCGGTGCCATTGATGGGGGGGAGGGGGGGATCCCATTGATGGGGGGGAGGGGGGCGGTGCCATTGATGTGGGGGAGGGGGGGATCCCATTGATGGGGGGGAGGGGGGATCCCATTGATGTGGGGGAGGGGGGGTCCCATTGATGTGGGGGAGGGGGGGTCCCATTGATGGGGGGGGAGGGGGGGATCCCATTGATGTGGGGGAGGGGGGATCCCATTGATGTGGGGGATGGGGGATCCCATTGATGTGGGGGGAGGGGGGTCCCATTGATGTGGGGGAGGGGGGATCCCATTGATGTGGGGGATGGGGGATCCCATTGATGTGGGGGGAGGGGGGATCCCATTGATGTGGGGGATGGGGGGGATCCCATTGATGTGGGGGAGGGGGGGGTCCCATTGATGTGGGGGATGGGGGGGTCCCATTGATGTGGGGGAGGGGGGGGTCCCATTGATAGGGAGGGGGGGTCCCATTGATGTGGGGGAGGGGGGGTCCGTCACGCGCAGGGCCGGAAGGGCCGCTCCGTGACCCCCCCGTGCAGCTCCAGCGCCGGGCGCGCCCAGGCCAGGACGTCCGCGCGGGGGCGCTCGCGGCACGCGGCCACCGCCGCCACCTCGGCGGCCGCCAGCGCCCGGCCCCAGAGCTGCAGCCCCGAGAGCGCCCCATGGAAGGACTGCGTCGCGTCAAAGGCCCCCCCCAGGGCGTCCTGCGGCACACGGGGACAACGCAGGGACCAGTGGGGCACGCAGGGACACACAGAGACCCCATAGGGACCATAGGGAACCATAGGGACACATAGGGACACATAGGGATACATAGGGACAGACAGAGACCCCATAGGGAACCATAGGGAGACATAGGGACACATAGGGATACATAGGGACAGACAGAGACCCCATAGGGACCATAGGGAGACATAGGGACACATAGGGACACATAGGGACAGACAGAGACCCCATAGGGAACCATAGGGAGACATAGGGACACATAGGGACACATAGGGACAGACAGAGACCCCATAGGGACCATAGGGAACCATAGGGACACATAGGGACACATAGAGACCATAGGGACACATAGGGACACATAGGGACAGACAGAGACCCCATAGGGACCATAGGGAACCATAGGGACACATAGGGACACATAGAGACCATAGGGACACATAGGGACACATAGGGACAGACAGAGACCCCATAGGGACCATAGGGAACCATAGGGACACATAGGGACACATAGAGACCATAGGGACACATAGGGACACATAGGGACAGACAGAGACCCCATAGGGACCATAGGGAACCATAGGGACACATAGGGACACATAGAGACCATAGGGACACATAGGGACACATAGGGACAGACAGAGACCCCATAGGGACCATAGGGAACCATAGGGACACATAGGGGACACATAGAGACCATAGGGACACATAGGGACACATAGGGACAGACAGAGACCCCATAGGGACCATAGGGAACCATAGGGACACATAGGGACACATAGAGACCATAGGGACACATAGGGACACATAGGGACAGACAGAGACCCCATAGGGACCATAGGGAACCATAGGGACACATAGGGACACATAGGGATACATAGGGACACATAGGAACACATAGGGACAGACAGAGACCCCATAGGGACCATAGGGAACCATAGGGACACATAGGGACACATAGGGATACATAGGGACCATAGGGACCATAGGGACACATAGGGACACATAGGGACAGACAGAGACCCCATAGGGACCATAGGGAACCATAGGGACACATAGGGACACATAGGGACCATAGGGACACATAGGGATACATAGGGACAGACAGAGACCCCATAGGGAACCATAGGGAACCATAGGGACACATAGGGACACATAGGGACACATAGGGACACATAGGGACACATAGAGACCATAGGGACACATAGGGACACATAGGGACAGACAGAGACCCCATAGGGACCATAGGGAACCATAGGGACACATAGGGACACATAGGGATACATAGGGACCATAGGGACCATAGGGACACATAGGGACACATAGGGACACATAGGGACAGACAGAGACCCCATAGGGACCATAGGGAACCATAGGGACACATAGGGACACATAGGGACCATAGGGACACATAGGGATACATAGGGACACATAGGGACAGACAGAGACCCCATAGGGACCATAGGGAACCATAGGGACACATAGGGACCCATAGGGACACATAGGGATACATAGGGACACATAGGGACACATAGGGACACATAGAGACCATAGGGACACATAGGGACACATAGGGACCCATAGGGGACACATAGGGACACACAGAGACCCCATAGGGACACATAGGGACCATAGGGACACATAGGGACCATAAGGAGCCATAGGGACACATAGGGAGCCACAGAGACCCATAGGGAACCACAGAGACCCATAGGGACACATAGGGAACCATAGGGACACACAGAGACCCCATAGGGACCATAGGGACACACAGGGAGCCACAGAGACCCATAGGGACACATAAGGACCCCATAGGGACCCACAGAAACCCATAAGCCCCCTAGATACATCAGATAGATCCCATATATACCCCACATGTACCCCCTATATCCCATATACCCCCCATATACACCATATATGCCCCACAAACACCCTGTATATCCCATACACCCCCCTATACCACCTATATCCCATATACACCCCATATACCCCCATATACGCCCCACAAACACCCTGTATATCTCTTACACCCCCTTATACCCCTATATCCCATATACACCCCATATACCTCATATACATCCCATATATACCCCATTAAATACCCCACATATATTCCACCTATATATCCCATATACACCTATGTACACCCCATATACACCCCATAGCCACCCCATAGACCCCCCATATATACCCCATAGACACCCATACACAACCCACAGCTGCCCCATAGACCCCCCATATACCCCCCACAGACCCCCCATATACACCCCACAGCTGCCCCACAGACCCCCATATACACCCCATAGACCCCCCATATACACCCCATAGACCCCCCCATACACACCCCATAGACCCCCCCATACACACCCCATAGCCCCCCATACACACCCCATAGCTGCCCCATAGCCCCCCCATACACACCCCATAGCTGCCCCATAGCCCCCCCATACACACCCCATAGCTGCCCCATAGCCCCCCATACACACCCCATAGCTGCCCCATAGACCGCCCCATAGACACCCCATAGCTGCCCCATAGACCCCCCCATAGCTGCCCCATAGACCGCCCCATAGACACCCCATAGCTGCCCCATAGACCACCCCATAGCTGCCCCATAGACCGCCCCATAGACACCCCATAGCTGCCCCATAGACACCCCATAGCTGCCCCACAGACCGCCCCATAGACACCCCATAGCTGCCCCATAGACCGCCCCATAGCTGCCCCATAGACCGCCCCATAGACACCCCATAGCTGCCCCATAGACACCCCATAGCCGCCCCACAGCCCCCCCATAGACACCCCATAGCTGCCCCATAGACCGCCCCATAGCTGCCCCATAGACCCCCCCATAGCCGCCCCACAGCCCCCCCTTACCTGCTCCTGCCCCACCACGAGGACCCCTCCCGCTCTCAGCGCGTGCCCCGGCGCCAGCCCCGCCCCCCCGCCGCGGGGGGCCCCGTCCTGGAAGCTGCGCCACGTGCCCCCCGCCGCCGACCACGTGACGCACACGTGATGCCAGCGCCCCGGGGTGGGCGACAGCGACAGCGCCACCGCCTGGGGGGGAGGAGCAGGGGCGCGCACGCCTGCACGGCTATGGGCCCCATAGAGACACAGAGAGACCCATAGATACCCTATAGGGACCCAGAGAGACCCATAGATATCCCATAGAGACCCATAGAGACCCATAGATACCCTATAGGGACCCATAGAGACCCATAGATATCCTATAGAGACCCAGAGAGACCCATAGATATCCTATAGAGACCCATAGATATCCTATAGAGACCCAGAGAGACCCATAGATATCCTATAGACACCCATAGATATCCTATAGAGACCCAGAGAGACCCATAGATATCCTACAGAGACCCATAGAGACCCATAGATATCCTATAGAGACCCAGAGAGACCCATAGATATCCTATAGACACCCATAGATATCCTATAGAGACCCATAGACATCCTATATAGACCCATATAGACCCATATATAACCTATATATACACATATAGACCCATATATAACCTATATAGACCCATATATACCCATACAGACATCATATATGCCCCATGTATCTTATACATTATATATACCCCATATATACATCACATATCCCACATATCTCATATACCCCATATATACCCCATATATCTCATATATACCCCAGATACATCACATATATATATTATATACCCCATATATACCATTACATAGATCATATATACCCCGTATACCTCATATATACCCCGTATACCCCATCTATACCCCATATATCTCATATACATCATTCATACCCCATTACATCCCATATATATATCATACATACCCCATTACATCCCATATATATATCATACATACCCCATTACATCCCATATATATATCATACATACCCCATTACATCCCATATATATATCATACATACCCCAGTACATCCCATATATATATCATACATACCCCATTACATCCCATATAGATATTATACATACCCCAGTACATCCCATATATATATCATACATACCCCAGTACATCCCATATATATATCATACCTCCCATATATATGCGCATATATATACCACATAAAGCCCATATATGCATCATATAAGCCCCATATATACCCCAGATACACCCCAACAACACCCCATATATGTCATATAACCCATATATACCCCATAAAACCCCATATACCCCATATACATGTCATATATACCCCATATACCTCATATAACCCATGTATACCCCATAAACACCCCATATACATGTCACATATACCCCACATATCTCATATAACCCATATATACCCCACAAACACCCCATATACATGTCACATATACCCCACATGTCATATAACCCATGTATATACCCCACATATACATCCCGTAATACCCCATATAGACCCCATATGCATCCCATACACACACAGAGCCAGCATCCCCCCAACCCCCGCATAACCCCTATACCCCCATAGCCCCTACACCCCCCATACCCCTCCATCTCCCCATACACCCCATACCCCCCCTATAACCCCCATTCCCTCCATCTCCCCATACACCCCATAACCTGCTAGAACCCCCATTCCCTCCATCTCCCCATACACCCCATACCCCCCCTATAACCCCCATTCCCTCCATCTCCCCATACACCCCATAACCTGCTAGAACCCCCATTCCATCCATGGCTCCTGTACCCCCCCATACCACACACCCCCCCCCATAGCCCCCGTTCCCCCCCAGCCCCCATACCCCCCATAGCTCCTCTACCCCCCATCCCCCACATCACCCCCATAGTCCCCATCCCCCCCCATCCCCCCTCCCCCCCGTACCTGGTCATTGACGAGCAGCTCCAGGGGCTGTTCCCCCCATCACCCCCCATCCCCCCCCCATCCCCCCCCATCCCCCCCATACCTGGTCATTAACGAGCAGCTCCAGGGGCTGTTCCCCCATCCCCCCATCCCCCCCCCCATCCCCCCCATCCCCCATCCCCCCCCATACCTGGTCATTGACGAGCAGCTCCAGGGGCCGCCCCCCATCCCCCATCCCCCCATCCCCCATTCCCCCATCACCCCCCCCATCCCCCCCCATCCCCCATCCCCCCATCCCCCCTCCCCCCCATACCTGGTCATTGACGAGCAGCTCCAGGGGCTGTCCCCCCATCCCCCATCCCCCCCCATCCCCCCCATCCCCCCATCCCCCCTCCCCCCCATACCTGGTCATTGACGAGCAGCTCCAGGGGCTGCCCCCCATCCCCCATCCCCCCCCCCATCCCCCATCACCCCCCCATCCCCCCCATCCCCCATCCCCCCCATACCTGATCATTAACGAGCAGCTCCAGGGGCTGTTCCCCCATCCCCCATCCCCCCCCATCCCCCCATCCCCCCCCCCATCCCCCCATCCCCCATCCCCCCATACCTGATCATTGACGAGCAGCTCCAGGGGCCGCCCCCCCATCCCCCATCCCCCATCACCCCCCCCATCCCCCCCCATCCCCCATCCCCCCCATACCTGATCATTAACGAGCAGCTCCAGGGGCTGCCCCCCATCACCCCCCCCATCCCCCCCCATCCCCCCATCCCCCATCCCCCCCCATACCTGATCATTAACGAGCAGCTCCAGGGGCTGCCCCCCATCCCCCATCACCCCCCCCATCCCCCCCCATCCCCCCCATCCCCCTCCCCCCCATACCTGGTCATTGACGAGCAGCTCCAGGGGCTGCCCCCCATCCCCCATCACCCCCCCATCCCCCCATCCCCCTCCCCCCCATACCTGATCATTAACGAGCAGCTCCAGGGGCTGTTCCCCCATCCCCCATCCCCCCCATCACCCCATCCCCCCCATACCTGATCATTAACGAGCAGCTCCAGGGGCTGTTCCCCCATCCCCCATCCCCCCCATCACCCCATCCCCCCCATACCTGATCATTAACGAGCAGCTCCAGGGGCTGTTCCCCCATCCCCCATCACCCCCCCATCCCCCCCCCATCCCCTCCCCCCCATACCTGGTCATTAACGAGCAGCTCCAGGGGCTGCCCCCCCATCCCCCATCACCCCCCCCATCCCCCATCCCCCCCCATACCTGATCATTAACGAGCAGCTCCAGGGGCTGTTCCCCCATCCCCCATCACCCCCCCATCCCCTCCCCCCCATCCCCATCCCCCCCATACCTGATCATTAACGAGCAGCTCCAGGGGCTGTCCCCCATCCCCCATCACCCCCCCATCCCCCCCCATCCCCATCCCCCCCCATACCTGATCATTAACGAGCAGCTCCAGGGGCTGTTCCCCCATCCCCCATCACCCCCCCATCCCCCATCCCCCTCCCCCCCATACCTGATCATTAACGAGCAGCTCCAGGGGCTGTTCCCCCATCCCCCATCACCGCCGCGCCATCCCCCATCCCCCTCCCCCCCATACCTGGTCATTGACGAGCAGCTCCAGGGGCTGCCCCCCCATCCCCCCATCACCA